AGGTAGGTGCCCCTGAGTTACTCTACAACTGTGCCCCTCTCAAGTAGAGCTTCTAGTCTTGTAGTACATAGACCTTTGGGCTTCTAAAGGCAGGCCCTGCTCATTGGCACTCAGCTGTGTGTTCCTCAACTTCCAGTAGGTGCTCTCTGGATGCTGCAGTAGTGGTGAGGGCACAGCTTTCAGAGTCAGATGAGGTTCTGGTGTCCTTTCCGGTGATCTCAAGTTGCGTAGCCGGGGCAGGGTAAATTACTAAACCTCTTGGTGCTTCAGCTTCCTCAGCTCATTGCTTCAGGCTGCTTTCAGGCAGTTTTAAATGCACAGAATGGGGATTGGAATTGTACTTTAAAAGATGGGGAGTTGGGGCACCTGGGTGGTTCAGTGGGTTAAGCCTCTGCCTTCGGCTCAGGTCATGGTCTCAGGGCCCGCATCAGGCTCTCTGCTCAGCGGGGAGCTTGCTTCCCCCTCTCTCTGCTTGCCTCTGTGCCTACTTCTGATCACTCTCTCTGTCAAATAAATAAAACCTTAAAAAAAAAAAAAGATGGGGAGAATTTGGATCAACAGATGATCCTTTGTGTAGCCAGGTAGGAGGTGATGAGAAGCATTTAAACTGTTGCATCTGGCTAGCTCACTTGGTTAAGGTCTGCCTTTAGCTCAGATCCTGGGTCCTGAATCCTGGGATGGAACCCAACACCCCACCCCCCACCCCTCCCAACCTGGCATGCTCAGCAGGGAGCCTGAGGGAGAACCCTCTACCCACACCCCACCTGTGCTCTTGCGCTCTCTCAAGTAAATAAAATCTTAAAAAGCTATTGAAGCCATCATTAGTGACTTCGAATGCTGACATTTCTTATATTTAATGTAATGATGGGAGACCAGGCTTAAAATCTGTCTGACCTTCAGGTGAGTTCTTGACCGACTGCTTAGAAGCTCTTAGCCCCTGAGCAAATTGCTTTCCCTGAGACTTGGTTTCCTCATGTCTTCATGGGGATTGATGCTTAATTGCAGTGGTGAATCAACAGTAATATGTGTCATACATGGTCTGGCCTGCTTCGGCCTTTCACATACTCCATATTAAAGGTGAATCATTGCTCTATAGCAAATAAATTAATCAGGTATTTAATAAGCAAGATAGTAAATGACCATGGCATTCATTTTTTTAAAATGTCAACTTGATATCATCATGGTAGTTAACATTAGTATGTCATACTGTTTGAATGTTGAACTTGGTTTGTTTTTCTTTTTCCCAGATGGTATATCACTTATGGTCATGAACTCATTTGGAAGAACAGGGAGCCTCTAGTGAAAATTTGGCATGAAATGAGGACTAACAGCCCCAAAAAAGGAGGCGGCTCGAAGTAAAACTGGGATTGGATGAGACTGGTGCGTGTGTCCTGTGCTGCCCCAAGAGTCCCAGGACACATCGGCCCTGGAGTGACCACGTCTTTGCTCCTGCCTGGAAGATACCCAGCACTGAGCTTTCCCAATATTTTAAACTCTATCCCCAGTACATGTCTTATTAGAAAGTGAATTATGACAAAGTTGTGAAATAAAGGTTTCTATCTCTAGTTTGTAAACAGAGGGTGTGTGTCCCTTTTGAAGAGCGCTGATGCTGCCCTGGAATCGTGCTGTTATATTGGATGTAGCGGGAGCTGTGAACTCGGTGGAACTGTGCAGGGAAGGTCTGACTGAGACTCAGATGCTTGTTTTTGTACTTTGGCCTTCTTGCATCTCTGCTTACTCACCTATCCCTTTCCTTGGTTGGTTGGCAGGTTAAAAACAAAAAAATCTTCTGTCCGTCATGACTGAAATAACAGAGGTAGTACTTTCTAAGTTTTCCTAAGAAAGGTAATGTTTTCTGGCAGTGAGTGGCATATACAAAAAGCTATTTTTAGGCTTCGTTTTCTAGATTAAAATTGTAGCTAATTTAAGCCTTAGAAGGAAATAACTTGGATAAATTCAGACTTGAATCTGAGCCTAATTGCATCTTATATTTGAAAATGTACATTCTTTGAATTGAGGCATCATACTGAAATAGCAGAGTGGCCATCAGAACAGCTTCCCTGTGGTTGAATTTGTGCTTGCCCTCATGATTGAAAATTATTTCTAGGAAATGCATTTTGAGAATTTAATAGTATTTGTTGAGATGATTTATAGGAGAGTTTTCTGTCTTTGGTGGCCTCGAGATAATACCGGTTCTTGCACTTGGAGGGAGTGCAGCCAGCTGTCGTGGAGGGGGTCAGGCTTTATGGAAAGGAGTGAGTTGTGCCCACCTCACAGTGCTGAGCTGAAAGGTAGCATGTCCCCACACAGAGGACTTGTGTAGGATTTGACAGTTCATATTCTTTTTCCCCCAGATTCTTCTCTAGTGAAATACCAATTATTCTTACCAGGCAGAAAGGATTCTATCCTAATGTCACTTCCAGGAGAGAGAGAGAAAGTGAGTGAGTGTGTGTGTGTGTGTGTGTGTGTTTCTTTTGTCCTAGCCCTCATTTTGCCAGTAAGGAACCAGGGTAGTTGTGTGTGGGAACTGCTCGGGGTCACACTGCTGTGCTTTGACATTATGAACATACTACACTAACAACCCGGTGAGACACAGATGAGGCAAGAAGCATTTCCCAGAGATGGGATGGGAGGCTGAGATCACATGGACATTTCGTATGGAGTCCAAAATGAAATTTATGTGTTGCTGTGGGCAGACTAGGGACACGGACTGTGAAGACATGTTTTCCTGCTTTGTGATGGTTAGGGAGGGAGCTTTTAGAAGGTCAAGTCCCTAAATCACTTCTCTGTCCAGAACGTCCCTCAGTGCTAGTGCCTTTCAACAGGCAAATACCATTCTCTCCGGGAGAGGCCTGGTGAAGGGAGCCCAGCCCTGGAAGCATGAGCCTTGCAGTCGAGAGCTTTGGCAGTTGTCCCTACTCTTTGCCTACTAGGGTGTTTTCTCACTGTGGCTTCTCTGCTGACACCTGAGCACCCAAAGGCCATGTTCTGCCTGGCTCATGTGCCTCTTGGGCTGTGCCTCCTGAACTGGCCTGTTAAGTGTGGTACCCCCAGGAAAGCAGCTGTCTTGTCTCACTCTACCTCCCCTCGCTTCAGTTATCTTCATGAGGATGTCTTCTGAGCTCTGGGCCTGTGGACTGTTTCCGTCCTTAGTTCATGCATCTACTGTATTCCAGGTATGGTTTCAGGTGCTGGGATCCCACTGCATAGACCTCTCAAGTATCACTCCTGGCTTAAGGAGTGATCTCACCAATTGGAAGTCAGAAACTTGGGAGCCATTCTAGATTTCTTCCCCTCCCATGTCTAGAATCCAGTGCCCCTTCCATTCCCAGTGCCTGTGCCTTAGTTCAGTCCCTCATCTCTAACCTGGACTGTTGAGACTATTCTCCAGCTGGTCTCTAAAATTTCCTTGTGTGTCTTCATATGGCCACAGAGTGCTGAAAACACTTCAGTCATTCCGTATTGTCGTCCATGAAAAACTCGTGGCTCCCGAGGCTCTCTGATCCAGCCTCTGATGCCTTTGGCTGAACCTCCCAATCCCCTATCCTGCATTTCCACCCTGAACCAACTACCCTCCCTCATTACAGGTGGCGGGGCCAGCTGCCCTCCCTCACTTGCTTTATCCAGTTCTCTTGTTGCCTACTACACTGAACCTCTGGGGTCCCCCAGCATTATTCCAGGCACAGAGTAAGTGCTCTTTGTTGCTTAATGAATGATGAAGAAATAAAAGGAAGAGCTATCACTTTTTTTTCCTTTTTCCCTGCAGGATGGAGTATTTATTCTCCAATGTCCCAAGTGGCTATCCCAGGGCCCTGGAGTATGGAGGTCACAGAAAGCTTGTCCAGCCCAGGGAGAGCAGGTATGTAACTTTACAGTGACTTCCCAGTGTGCTCCTCTCCTGCTGCCTCCTGGACCATGGCCTGGCCACCGCACCTGTCTGTCACTTTACTATGACTGGAAGCTGAAAGGGGGTGGTTTGGGGGAGGAATCTGTGTCCTGACTGGTCAGGGCTCCACTGCAGTTTTCTGCTCTGAGATGCAGACTGGAGACGGTCCAAGTATGTGCTGGAGATGGAGCTCTGGCTAATTAATGCTGTTTCGTCGTGTGATGAGTCAGTGGTCTGCAGTACACATTGAGGGTGTGTGTCGGATACTCAGGAAGCCTTTTGAGTGTGGCCAGGGAGATGTTTGTGATGCCCTGTCGTGCATTAAACAGACTGACCTCCAGCCTGGAGGATTACCCAAACTTTGCAATAAAAAAAGAGTGCATGCACAGGAGGGAAGGGAATGTTTACAGCACAATGGCCAGAGACGGCAGCTTTATAACGCCAAGTCTTCTGTTGCCATGCTTTAAAATGAGGGATTTTAGAACTCAGGGAAAGGTCAGTTGAGGGCTAATGCCAGTTCTCAATGAAAACTGGATTGGCTGTTACAAATTTAGTGTCGTAAAGGCAAATAGTGGCTCACTGGCTGATTCAAGCACGTGTCCTCTGGAAGCATGCCCCCCCCCCCCCCCCCCCCCCCCCCCCCCGCCCTGTCTGCCCTGTGATCCCCGCATCGCGGCACCTCCGCTCTGTGCACCCTCCTGCGAGTCCCCGCGGAGCAGCCTAGCACAAATGCTGCAGCCCTGGCTGCTCTGCGAGCCCCAAGAGCCCGGCAGCGGCGGACTGCGCCCATGCCGGCCCAGGACCATGGGTGACCGCATTGTTGCCACCCGGCTCTCGCTCTTGGCGAAACAGCTCCGATTTAGAAAATAGTATTAAAGAAACTTTGGATTAAAAGATGAAACCTTCCAGCTGGACACTAGTGAATGCCTGCAGGCGTTTTGGGGTGCCCATCCCCAGCCTTCCCATCCCCACCTCCCCGCCTCTGCGCCCACCGGTCCGTGCTCCTCGGCGGTGTGCACCCAGGCCCCACCGGGCCCTCCTCCCTCCACGGCCGGCCTCCCCCAGGCCAGGGGGCGGCGCTGCGGCGGCGCGGGGAGGGCTGCGGGGGCGGGGACGCCGGGCGGGGGCGGTGCGGCCCGGAGCGCGGGGAGCCGAGCAGCGGGCACCGGGGCCGGCATGGCGTGGCCCTGCATCAGCCGCTTATGCTGCCTGGCGCGGCGCTGGAACCAGCTGGACCGCTCCGACGTGGCAGTGCCGCTCACCCTGCACAGCTACTCGGACCTCGAGAGCGAGGAGCCCGGTGCAGGCGGCGCGGCTTCCCGCAGGGGCCCGTCTCCTGCAGGCACCCGGGACCCCGGCCGGGACGTGCCGCTCACTCAGTACCAGCGGGACTTCGGCGTGTGGACGGGCCCCACTGGGCCCAGGGATGCTCCGCAGGGGCGTGGGTCGGGTGTGGGCGGCCGCAGGAACAAGCACCCCACGGCCCCTGGCCGGGGTGTCTACGTGCTCCCCATCGGCGACGCGGACTCGGCTGTGGTGACCACGTCGTACAGGTATGGGGCTTCGGGCAGGGGAGTGCATCGAGTCCGGACCCCATGGTAGGAGGAAACGGAGGCTGTGAACCATGAGGACCACCTTGGTGGGGGAGGGAAGAGGCACCTGGAGCCCCCATCCCACACCACTTGGAGAGCTGTAGGCGACCTCGGAGGTCATCCCCTTTGGTCCCAGGTCCCAGTGCACTTCGAGGTATCGCCTTCGCTGCTCCCTAACAGCCCCCCCACCCAATGCCAGTGAATGAGCGAGCTCCTCTGCTGATAGGGAGCTCACTACCTTGCTCACACCTCACTCCTCTCCATCCTCTCCCTCACTCAGCCCTATCAGAAAGCCCTGCCGTCAACTGAGTTAAAATCTGCTTTAACTTCCACCAAGTGGGTCTCGCCATAGGCAGGGTATGTGCGGGTCAGCTGCCTGAGCTCCCTCCACCCCGTGCCCTCTGTGGATGCATTGCTGGTGAGGACCAGACAGGGCTCCCAGTAGGTGGCCCCCTAGGGAATCTCGCTGAGTGACTGAGATCTATGGGGCCACCCTGCCCCCACCTTAGCTCTGCCCCTGGACAACTCAGGGCATTCTTTGTCTTATTACAAAACTTGTAGAAAACCGGGAAATTACAACAAATTCCTTTAACCCCACCCAAACTGGTAGTTCTTTCTAATCCTTAAGCTTTTGAGTTCATACCCATTTGTAATTCTTCTGTGTTTAAATACTGTACACATTTTCCCATCAATTTTGGATTTCGTGTTACTAGATATATTTTTACAACAGGAATTTTAGTAGACATGCAATGTTTTATCCAAAGGATTTACATTTGTCCATATATTGATATATATTCCAGTTATTAATCTGTCATCATTGAATATTTAGAATGTTTCTAATTTGAGACCATTAAAAACACTTCTTTTGATCCAGTACTTCATTTCCGGTTTTCCTTGCAAGTATCTTTGAATGTGGGGTGGGAACTAAGGAATCTAAGGTATGTTGCAACACTGTACTGCAGAAGATGGAAACAGTCCCCTCTGCTCCTGATGCAGCTGGCTAATTATGATTCCACCATAGGATGGGCTACTGGGAGGCCTAGGATGTAGTGATAGTGGAAGGTCTGGAAGATCTTGGATGGGTGTATACCAAAAAACCAAAATGCAGAACAGTGTGTCTGTTTGTGTTTTTAAAAGGAGTATGATATATGCGTATCTGCTCAAATAGGTTATCTCTGGGTGGATGTGTGGAAACACAGGAACCTTTGGGGAGAGGTGGGAGGGCCGGGGAGGAAGGGATGCTGCCAGGGGCAGAAGAGCACTGACTGACTTCTCACCCTTTCAAGAACTGTTTGTTTGTTTGTTTGTTTGTTTGTTTGTTTAAAAACATGTATATGTTCTACCTTTAAAAAAAAAAAACACCACTTTTTTTTAGAGAAAAAAATTGTTGTGATGAGCATCCTTATAGCTAAACGTCTTTGCTCCTTTCAGTTTCTTTAGAAATTCCGACCTGTGGAATTAAAGGAGCAAAAAGGTATGAACTTTCCCCCTCGGTTTTATTATTTAAAAAATCAACTGTATTAAGGTGGGATTTCCACAGAGTAATTATTTAAGACGTGTAGAAGATTCCATCTCCCCAGGGTTTCCTTCACGGGCATGTAGTTTTTCAGGAACCTAACGGGGAAAGGTAGTTGTGAGATGGGTCTTGTGCTCACCGACACCCACTCACGCTGACTGCTGAAATGCACAGGGGAACGTCAGGGCAGGGCCAACACTGAGCCCAGCTCAGGCCTTGCCAGGCTGCAGAGGGTTCAGACTGCTGTGTGCTTGCAGTGAGCCAGCAGGAGAGGCCTGAACGGTGAGAGGCCCGAGGGCCTGGGTGTGCAGCACCTTCAGATGACTGACATTCCAGGTCGGGAGCAGGAGAAGGGGCAGAGCCTGCAGGGAGCCAGCTTCAGCTCAGGGAAGGAAGAGCTTTCTAATAATTCCAATAGACTGATGATGGAGTGAGTGGCCTCCGGGGTGCTGAGCTCCTCCTCACTGGTAATGTTCGAGCGAAGTCGGGGCTTTTAGAAGTGGCCCCTCACTTGTGTTGAGCAGATGGTGGGTTTGAACATCTTGCTGGGTCCTCCCAGCTCCAGTGATACTAAAGGTACAAGTTGTTACTCTCTGCTTACCAAGTGCCAGAAACCAGGCTCAGGACTTCCCATAGATTATCTCCCTAAGATCTCACCCCTGAGATGCTGCCGTCTCTGCATCCCTTTGTTTCTTGAGCTGGGTCCTGCTGTGATGGAAAGCTACTGCACGGAGTTGGGACTCACCGGAGCTCTTGTTTTCTGGGGTATAACTTGGTGGGTCATGTGGCCTCTCTGATGCTGTCCTCTTCTGTAAAACAGCCAGAGCTTGACTCCTGGGGTCCCCATACCCGTAAATCGGGCCTAGATCCAGGACCACTGCTGAACTTGGCTCCCCCAACAGCGTGCCAGCTGACCTCTGGGACCCCTCACCTCCCAGCTCTAGGACTTGATGTGGGAAACCACTCTGACTCCTTGTAAGACCCACGTAATCTGAGTGAACTGTTAGAAGAAATTCACAAAGAAAAGGAACAGATCAGGGAACCCAAGGGTACCGGAGTCCTCGTGGTCACTCGCCAGCCCCTGATCCTCTTGAGAAAACTGACCGGCCTCATTTGTTTGGCCAGAGGGGTGCTGCGGATCTTGCTCTTGCAGCCAGCCCTGGTCTCTCCCCTCTGGGATTCCCTAGGTGCCATTCAGCACCTTTGGCCCAGGATCTAGTTCCATGCACTCTGGAAGACCTCCTTCCTCAGTCCTCTACCTCTTTCTTTCCTGGGTGGGGCACAGGGCAGACCACTGAAGTGCCCAGCACCAAGGTTCATTATAGCCTCCTGCACGGAGATTGGTAGCCCTTTTCATGAGGAAGCTGAGGCTCAGAGAAAAGGCATTTGAAGCCTTGAGAACCTAGGGCGCTCGGCATTGCCACTGGTGGCCCCTGGCTCTTAGTGCGACTGCAGCCTTCAGGGTCCAGCTGAGGCCCAGACCAGGTGGATGCTTGGTCAGGGGAGGCACTGGCATATGTGGCTTGTCTTGTCTTGTGTTTTTAATATCCTCTTCACCAGAGCCATAAATCTGCTCTCCTCTCCCTGGCCATCAAAGGGTCCTGCTGCTTCTAGGTCTGAGGTTCCATCTCCGTCCCCGCTGAGGTCTTCCCTCACTGGTCTCCAGCACCAGCCCCGCCCAGGAGCAGCCAGGGGGCATTGCTCTAGCTCCTGGCTCTGATCCATTTCTGTGCTGGGACCCCTGCAGCCACCCTGGGGTGACAGGCTTGGGCTGCCAGGCCCAAGGCTCAGCTCGGTTTGGGGACAGAAGGGAGCGTCCAGGGGAGGACCTGCTTCCCCAGGAGAAACAGAATGGCAGATGGCTCGGGCAGCTGGTCTTTGGAACCTTGCAGCTTCAGAAGCAAAAGTGATCTGACAGGGCCCAGGCCCAGCTCACCTCCTGGCACTTCTGAGCACTGACCACGGGCAGACACAGCCGCTCCCTGCCCCAGCGGCCGTCCTCGTGGTGCCCAGCTGTGCCGCTGCCAAGGACAAAAGGCAGTGCTGTTGGCTTCGGGCCTGAAGCCCAGCCAGGGCTGCGGGAGGAGGAGATAAGAATGGACCCGGCCCGCATGTGGGTGCTGCCCCGGCCAGCTGGACACTTTTCTGCAGAACACGGTCTTGGCCAGGGGCTCCTATGGACACAGCAGGCCTCTGCCTGCTGGGCTCACTGTCTAGCACAGGAGTTGAGAGAATTTAAAATAGGTCTCAGTGCAAAAGAACCAAGGAATTAAATCTTTGTCAAAACACATACTCTGAGTGGCAGCTGGGTGACTCCGTTAAGTGTCCGACTCTTGATTTCAGTTCAGGTCATGACCTGGGGGTCATGAGATTAAGCCCTGCCCAGCAGGGAGTTTGGCTGGGAGTCTGCTTGACATTCTCTCTCCCTCTGCCCCCTCCCCCTCTAAAAAAAAAAAATACGTGAACTAAAAAAAAAATGTACTCCGAGAACATGAAGCTGGTTTGTGCCAGCCTTGTCACTTCTATCTATGGAGTCAGCCACCCCCAGGTCCTCCCCTTCTGCATCCAGGCAGGAGCGCCTGTGTGCACAGTGTCCTGCAGAAGCCAGACCAGCTTGTGGTTGTTCGAGGTAGTCACTACAATCTGTTCTGTTTTGTAGGAGTTAATAAGACCAGTTATTAAAAAGTAAACCTAATACTGAACTTATTTTTCCTTCTGTTGTAACCAGGTATGGAAGACCTTTGCTGTGCCGGGCACTGTCTGGGCCAGCACCTCCCTCCTATGGATTTAAGGGCCACCAGTGGCCTGGGCTGGAGGTGACCGACCTGCACTGGTTCTGGGTGTCTCAGGCCCCTTAGAGTTGCCTGGAGACTAAAGAGGGAGCACTGAAGGAAGGGCTGGGACTTGGTTTCCGATGCCCAGCACATCCCAGGTGCTCACATCTGGATCCAATTTAGCAGTGGAGAATGGCCAGGACATTCCAAGCAGCACAGGACAATGGCAGCGGCCCCTGAAGAGTCGGGAGGGCTGACTGATCCTGAGCCAGGTGGTAACCGTGTCCTCTATTCCAGACAGGAGTTCCAGGCCTGGACCGGAGTGAAGCCGCCAAGATCCACAAAGGCAAGACCCGCCACAGTCATCACAACCCACAGCTCTGGATGGGACAGCCGCCCCGGGGGTGGCTTCCAGGTCAGCCTGAAATGGGTGCAGCAGGGCAAAGGGCTGGGCTCCCAGCTGCAGGGGGTGTGGGAACAGAGGCCCCCTTTCCAGGTTAGGGACGAGGAGTTGGATTTTGATGATGCAAAATGGCATTAGGGCCAAGGACAGTAGTGTCTGAGCACTTAGTCATCCTTCAGCAGAGAGCCACAGTGGTCCTTTGTTGCTGGCCAAGGGGGGGCATCTCCCTAGAGCGACTTCCTGGCGAGCAGGGTGTCCCTTTCCCTCCTAAATCCCAATCTTACCCTTGATTGCTGAGCAGTAACAATGAGCCTTCCATGTCCTTGGCATTTGTGTTAGAAGATGGATGGGAGGTTGGGACTGTTCAGCTTCCTGATTCCACCCAAAGGAGGCTTCAGGGAGCAGAACAAAAGGTCCAGGTGCCATATTTGACCTAATGCAGTGACCTGCCCCGTGCATGTTTCCCACACAGACCCTTTAGGTCAGCAGTCTCAACTCTTGGGATGACAAGAGGCAGAAATTTTCTTCTTGGAGCTGGAATGGGAGGTGGTGGGGAAGGAAAGTGGAGGGAAAGGCATACTGATATGGGGCCACATTTCATTTTTCAGGCCCCTGAGGGGAAGAAGAAGTTCACCCCTAACCCATCAGCCATCTTTCAGGCTTCAGCTCCCCGGATCCTCAATGTGTGACTGGCCACACTGGCACCAAGATGGGGCTGTCCTCGGCCACTCAGGGACTGGGTGAGATCCTGGGATGGCCCCTCTGCTGTGTGAGGGGAAGACCCCTATTTCTTACTGTGCGCACCACTCCTCCCGGCTGCCACTGGGCTGTGGGCCTGGCACGGATGGACACGGTAGCACCCAGCTCAGCTTTGGGCCTCAATCATCCTCTTTTTCCTTGAGAAGTGTGCAGAAAGCTTCAGATCTTTTAATTGCCTCTTTTGGCCTCCCTTCAGTTTTTAAATCTGAGGAACTTAAGGATCAATTCTGTTGTAAACAGAATTGGTCTGTGCGGGCTGAGGAACACAGACATAACAGGTGCTTGAAAGAACCAGTCCACTTAGTTGTTTTCCCAGGCTGCATGAGAACTTTGTGACCTATGGTAACCCAAGGGGACTGTCCTTGGAGATGCCTACAAATGGCCACACATTCAGGTTGAAGAGATCTTGGGTTATTACCTGCATGTGACTCACTGTGATGCTGAGTAACTAGAATGTCATTTCCCAAAGGAACAGAGTATCAATCACAGGGTTTCAATTTCAAAGATGTAATTTAGGGCCCAGATGACCCTTATGTTTTAACAAAAGGCTTCTTCTGAGGAGTGCTTGAAGTGCTGAATGAATGTCCTTGACCTTGTAGGTTTCTGAGCCCCACATTTTATTACTAATTCCAGTTTTTTCCCTTACAGTTGACGACTAGAAGGGAACACCATACATACTGGCAAAGAACTGGGAGCATTTTTTGGGACGAAGTGGCATTAGCCTCCTTCTCTGAAAGACTTTAACATGTTATCTACACCTAGATGACTCCCACCCTGCTCTCTCACTTACAGTTGGGGGAGCTCACTGTGAGGAGGCAGCTGTCGGCTTTGGAAAGCTGCCTCCTTTGCCGGTAAGTCCCAGCCCATGTGGCCACGCCGAGCGAGCCTGGCCGTTTGCACAGCCAGTGGTCAAACATTCGAAGGCATTTCTGTCCGCTCTTGGAGATTAGAGGCACAGGCTAAGGACAGTTCTTGGTAAGGAAACTCCAGGATTTCCCTGTGGGTCTTCCTCCCTCTCCAGCCCCCACACAGCTGCGGACCTCCCGTTTCCCAGCCCCTCGGAGGACTTGGAGCGGGGCTGGTCCCTCAGAGGGAGGGCTGGCTCTGGCTGGCACAGCCTTGCTCTTAGTGCAGCAAAGGAAATGCTCTGAATCATTTTAAAGGCAGAACCAAAACCATATGCTTACACAAAGGGTTCTATTATTTCCGACTTCATTGGTTTGCATGTTAGACGTTTCTAAGAGAAAAGAGACTGCCTGCTGCTGTGCATTCTGTGGGAAATGAACAGATTAACCGTACAATCTCAGATTTTACTAAAATGCAAAAATGTACTGTTACAATTTCTTGTTAGCTTATTTCTTTAATTATAAACCTGGAGCGCCTTCTCATACGTCTTTATCATCCTCTCGGACTTCGGCGTATCGTGGCTATTACTGGTTGTCCCTTGAAGGCTGACAAATCCCAAGGTCTCTCCGTTTGGACTGCCATCCACAGTGGTGTCTTACGTGGTATTCACAGGACACACCAACCTCCCCTCTTTCATGTGGACCACCCTCCGCAATCCCGAGGTTAGGATGAAAAGACCCTCTTTGAAGCTAGTCTTGGGCTAACTCCTGAATTCTCTACTCACTGTGAGCAGCTTCCATTTCCTTATCTGCAGAGTAAGGAGAACACCCCTACCTTGCTAGTAGGAGTTTGTTTATGGGCAGCGTATTTATTAGTACAGTGAATGGCCAGCAAAGCACAAACATGACAATTGTGCAGACATGACAATTGTCCTTTCCTGCCCAGGCCCCCCTCCTTCTCAGGGAGCTGGCTCTATTCTCCCTTGCAGGTTTGGCCCATCTGAAGCCACTGACACAGTCCTTCTCCCTAGACCCTGCTTGCGTCCCCCTTCTCTCCCTGACAGCCTGCAGACCAGACCGAAAGGCTGTACCTCAGCCGGATCCCACAGGCCTGCCTTTCTTGGCAGCCTTGGCACCACAGCAGTGGGAGCAGCCCTGCCTCACGTGGCCTGCCTCTGAAGGCAGACTGCATGCCCAGGAACCTTTTTGGAATGCACCAGAACAGATAGCTTTTCACCAAACCCCTAACTCGATAATCCTCTTTACTAGGCTTCATTATTAGAAGACTCGGGTTCTGAAGAAGGAACTTCCACCCACTCTAGGTCTTAGTAAGGCCGAACATCCCATTAGGCTTCCCAAAGCAACTGAGACAGTAGTCTTGGGTGAGTGGTACTGATCACATACATCATACACATACATACAACAGAGGAAAATGCAGCAAATACTAATGGTGGTTATCTTTGGGAAGGGGAATTACGGGTAACTAAATTTTTTACACCTTACTATATTTGCTAAAGTTTCTATATAATAAGCATTTTGTATTCTGTAAAGAGTAATGTTTTTAAAAATAAAAAGTTCAATCTGTCAGCTAATTTCAGCCAGAAGCAAGCATTCAGTATCAGTGATTCCATAACCAGTGTTAGCACTGCCAGCAGCTGCCAGAACTTGCCCTGAGGATGCACCGTGACACCCAAGCAGAGTGGTGCCCCTGAAGTCCTCCCCCACAGCCGCTGAGACCAAGGTCCCGCCTTGTGCTCCATGGTGCTTCGAAACTCAGAAAAACCCAGTACAAATGAGAATACTTTCATACCTGTACTAACACCAGGATTTTCAGCCAAATTTCTAAAAAGGAGCTTTTGAAAAACCTTGACCCTACAGCCCACCTGGGCAGACGGGGGAATGTCCCCTTTAGTGGGGTCAGGTCTGCCAACGCTGTTCACACAGGCTTCTGTCAGTAAGAGCGAGTCCCCAGCTGAGGAACTGCCTGGGACATGAGTCTCTGTCCTGGGGCTCCAGTCAAAACCGTGGCTGAGATCAACATTCAGGAAAGGAGCCCAAGCAACACCCCTATTCTCCCTCTGGACATTTTGATTCCCTAAAGGCTGAGGCGAAGTCTGGTCCCAGGAAAACTACGGATCTGGAATCCCAATCCCTCTGCCCTGCAGAACTTCCTGCCTTTGAAGAACCAAAGCTTTCAAAGCCCTTTGTCTTGTTAAGGGTGGATGTAAAAAGTGGTCATTTCTGAAATGTTTCTGCATTTTTGGTTATTTTTTTTTAGCCATTCTGCTAGCAGATGGTCACAGCAGGGCTGTGTCCCCGGAGTAACTTCTTCCAGACCTCAGCAGAGACCAGTTCCAGCTTTCCAGACAGAGCAGTGTGCTTATTCCTTAGACAACAGGAACGGTTTCCCTCCTTGCCTTGGCTTTGAGGAGGCGCCGAGGTCCATTAGGTAGTTTTCCTTTGCCCCAAGCTGTCAGAAATCCTTATTTCTGGGTCCGTGTGCATCTTCTAAATTTTTCCCCCAGACTTTTATGTAACTGTAATCCTTTATCTTGCACAGCTGCAAATTCTTGGGAAGAAGTGGCAGAATTAATGTAAACACAAATACCTGTACCTCTGCCCGCTCCCGGCTCCTTAGGACCTCGTGGAAGAACCACCCACCAAAGTGTAGTGCTTCGAACTCAGAAAAACCCAACACAAATACTAAAAGGTTTATTGTAGATTTTGTTACACAATTATGTTACATGTTATGATACAAATACATCTGAAACATTAACACATATGGGAACTGTTAAATGATTTAGTATTTCTTTTGCAAAAAGATAATTACTTTAGGCTTTTATACCTGTAATAAATCGATCTGTTCTCATTGGGATCAAATCCTCCATCCTGTAAAACTGTCACAGTCCGCTGCTGAATAAATTTATGCATCTGTCCACTGGCCTCGCTTGCAGTGGTTAATGTATAGAGTATCTGAGCCTTTATGCACTAAACTTTTTTACCGAGCCCCAGCATTCCTGATGCCTTACTGAACAGGTTTCCTTGTGCACCTGCAATCCTTGGATGCTGAACAGAGAAGGGCAGATCTCTTGGTCACCTCCCTGCCTTCTGTTCCTGACCCAAACGTCTACACAACTCATGGAAACTTCAGTTATGTTGACTGGGTAAGTTTGATTCACAAACTTCAAATTTCCTTTGAGCAGATTCCTCACAGAATAAATTCTCTCCTTTCCTTCAACACAGACTATGTTAGGACAGAGTATCTGTAATGCAACTGAGTATCACGCAGGCCCTGTGGACCCTCCTCCTCCCGTTCACTTCTCCTGCCAAGAGGGCTCTGCATCTGGGCACAATCTATTCTCACTGCTTCTGAGCACTGACATTCCTGTCTCGTGGCTTCGGCAGTCATTTCTCTCTAAGGCACTCAGTGTTTCCTTGAAACGCTTTTCTTTGGAAAAGCCAAGTGGAAAAGAACAAGGCCCTAAGTCCACTGACAGGACTCCCCATTCCCTCAGGCCTGGCCCAGGGGCTGCTCCCCACTGGTCCCTCACCACGGGGTGACCCACATACCCTATGAATGCTGTGGAACCAGCTCTACCTGACACAAAGCTGGTCCAGGTCGGCCGGGTGCCTGGGGTTGGCGGGTGTTCTCTATTACTGACCCAGGGAGAGCTGCTTGGTCACAGTCAGACCTTACCCGGACATTTGCTGGGATCTGCCTACCCCTTGACGGTGCTGACCTTGGCTGCAGTAATGTCCCTGTGCTCCAAGGGAACACTTCTGCACAGCGTGTGGGTTCCCAGGCTCTGCTGACTTCTGCAAGGCGTTATTGCCCCCTAAGGCTGATGGGGTCCTGTAAGTCACCGGATGAGGGCAGAAGCCCCGCCTGGCTCCAGAGGTTACCAGGGTAACTGCAGGAGCTGCCTGTAGCCCCAGAATAGGTGGACCACCAGCGTGGCCCAAGGTGCCCCTTGACACCCAGAGAAGGACCTGCTGCACGTGGCCTGGCCCAGCTTGGAGACTCTGTCCCAAAGCTTTTCCAGAGAGCGAGCAAATGCGAGCTGACAGAGCACACATCCCCTCACAGCTTCATTCTAGACTCAGAAACTTCTGTCCTAAAGGGATCTGATCTGGGACCGAATACTCCGGTGTTACAGTGATTTAAGTGGAGGCAATGGTTTGGCAGCCATAATATTTCGAGGCACAAAGACAATTACCTCCTTCCCCAAAGAGAAGAGTCGTCGCAGTTCGAAGCTTCGGATACATCTGCAAATCCTGCTTTTCTAAGGGCATCTTCATTCCACTCACTGGTCTTCATTCAATATTCCCATGTGTTTATTTGTGAGAAAGTCCAGAAAAGGAATGTTGCAAATGGCCTGGTGAATGTTACTCACTGTAATTTCTTTGGGAATCCTGTCCAAAAACAAAGCATATTAGGTGCAATTTTCTAATCAATTTATCAAAAGGGCCTCCACCCCTCACCCCACCCTCCCAGAAGGGGGACAGAACTGAGGCACGATTTAGGGCCTCCTGGCACGGGGGAGGCCAGGTGCATGTTCTTGCTCGCTCTCTTTCCCATTAGTTTCTTTAGTTTTAGTAAAGACTGTCCTGACCTCTTCACAGCCAGCCCAATCTGGGGCTCAAATCAGACTTCCCAGTCCCAGGCATTGGTTGAACAATGAAGAAAAAGCCTCTGAGGATTGAGAAAAGAGGAAGGAAGTAAAGTGGACAGCAAAACAGAATGAAGTTTTCGTCGTTCTGTCTGAGCCGACTGAGCTGAGTCAAAGGGCTGCAGAACTGCGGGACCACGGTTCCGTCTGTGGGGGGCATGGGATACGGAGCCGAGCCAGGCCAGGGGGATAAATGTTTTTATCAAGAGCGTCCCAGGCACCCTAGCTGGACGACGGAGGCGAGCAGAGCCACAGAAAGCACTCAGTCCACACTCTTGGGCTTCACACACGACAAGGAACATTCCCGAACTCCTGTTTCTCCTTCCTTCTTTCTTAAAGAGGTCTTCTGCACTGCCCGATGTATTCTAATCCTGTGAAGTCTGACCTAATAGTCCTCTGATGTAGGCCTCTTTATGTCCTCAGATGCTTCTGATACAGTTTTACAAATTTAGGACAGGCCTGAAGGATAAAATACTTGTTTCCCTGGAAAGGAATGCCTGGATGTGGAACAACAGAAGGGCTATCTGCCATGCTCTAGGGCCTAAGAAAAAAGCAAAACTCAGTGTCCCGACCAGTAATAATAAGGGGGCAGCAAAGCAGTGGTGAGCGGGTGAGCTTTAGGGCCAATGAGGCCCACCGCGTGAGTGCTGGGAAAGCCAGGGAACGTGAACATTCAGAGCCTGTTTTCCTGACTTCTAAAAAGGGGGCAGAATTCTCCCATGAAAAACAAATCAGGTAGCGTATATGATGTCTAACCCCCACATCTAACACATCACAGTCAATATTATCTTTTCTTTACAAAGAACTGGCATTTGTTCCTCCCAGTAGTGGAACAGAGTCCTAATGAACCGCGTGTCTGAAGGAGTGACACTAGGAAGATACAGACCTCTGAGCTCTGAAAGCTGAGCTTTCACAATCACAAGAGTCTCGAAATGACCAAGCAGACCCCTAAGTCTGTCTGGTTCCGAGAGCGTCCCAAACAGTGACACCTTCATCTCCAACTGGATGAGGCAGAAAACCTCTTCACGGGCAACTAAACTGTCAGGCAGTATCTGTAACCCTAGTACCACTGACGAAAGAGATCTCGGTACCTGTTGTGAGATGCTGTCCGGTATCCAACCGCCAAAGCCTGTCTCAGGATGTCGTTCACCAGCTGCTCCGTGGCCTATGACAGAAGACAGGATTACTCTTAAAAATGGCCACGTGCCTGCTGGTGAGGAGGGACACATCTGACCTCATCCCATATACAAAACTTTGCAAACAAATGTATCTAAGGATCAAAACTCCTTAAGGAAAAACTAAAGGTCCAAATAATAGACCACAAATATTAGGTTACAAAAATAAAGCCCAAGATTCTGAGAAATTATGAACGGGGGGGAAACGTTCATTAATCAGACACTGTTTTTAAGGAAAACAGGTTGAGGAGGGCACTAAGGTGGCTCAGTCGGCTGGGCATCTGCTTTTGGCTCAGGTCATGAGCCCAAAAACCTAGGCTCAAGCCGCTCTTGGGCTCCCAGCTCAGCACCAAGTTGCTTGTCCCTCTGCCCCTCCCCCAGCCTGCTTGTGCTCTCCCTTAAATACATAAAAGCTTAAAAGAAAATCTGGGTTATTTCTATCCAAAAAAAAAAGGAAAACCAGTGAGGGTTATTTGCGAGTTATCCCTGCTGGGAGAGGGGTCTGACCAGAAAAGTAGCTGCGGGGCTACATCAGGGTGGGTAAGGAAGCTAGTTTGTCATCCTCTTGCCCAGGGTTGGGACAATTGTGGCTGTTTCTCTGTTGTTGTGACACGTGGAGAAAACCCAAGGCTTTGCTTCTGTCACGTCCTAAAGCAGCGAGAGCACTCATCTCAGATTGCTTCAGAAGGCACTAAAAAGTATCATTCCAGTGACATCAGCACAGAAGCTCGTAGATGCTTTCACACTCAGAAGACCCATTATTTAGTTCTTTTAAAAATCAGAAAACATGGGGGCGCCTGGGTGGCTCAGTGGTTAAAGCCTCTGCCTTTGGCTCAGGTCATGATCTCAGGGTCCTAGGATCGAGTCCCGCATCGGGCTCTCTGCTCAGCAGGGAGCCTGCCTCCTCCTCCTGTCTCTCTCTGCCTGCCTCTCTACTTGTGATCTGTCAAATAAATTAAAAAAAAAAAATCTTAAAAATCAGAAAACATGGGGGCACCTGGGTGGCTCAGTGGGTTAAGTCTCTGCCTTCAGTTCAGGTGATGGTCTCAGGGTCCTGGGATCAAGCCCCGCATCGGGCTCTCTGCTCAGCGGGGAGCCTGCTCCCCCCCCAACCTACTTGTGATCTCTGTCAAATAAATAAATAAAATCTTAAAAAAAAAATCAGAAAAAACATGAAGCCCGATTAAGATAAAAAATCCTAAAACTTATGATCTCTGTTCCATTTCTGCCCCATCCCTTACTCAAAACATCCCGGGACCCAGGCTATCCTGCCCACTGGCACCTCAGTGCCCCAGCCCCGGGCAGCAGCTGCTCAGGGGCTTGCTGCAGCTGGCACCCACCTTTAAAATCATGTCCTCCACCACCGATGCGTACACGTTCTTGTGAAGTGCCACGGGCTGCAGGGTGATCCCGATCTGGAAAAGCGGAAAAGCCGTTTGTTCCTACCTCTACACTGGAAACCACCTCTCTCCAAACGAGCACACTTCTCAGATATCCAAAGAGCTGGCCAGCTGAAAGAGTAACTCTACGAGCACTCTGGACAAAACTTGGCAGGAGTAACACAAAATGTAACACCTGGGAGAATACACGGTCCTGTTTCTCAGTGGCTGTTAAACATGCTACTAGAGTCCTGCTTTTACCCCCAAATGAAGAACATGGCCAGGATTTGCCAGGAATCCTGATAGTGGAATCAACCCACTGGGAAGCCTAGAATCAGACTTCAGGGGCTGTTTGCAAAAGGTGATGAATACACAGCTGGCACCTGTGCTCGCCCCATCTTGCATTTTCTTGTCTAAATGAAACAAACACCGCCTCCACTCGGGGTCCCAAGCAGCTGTACCGGGTACAGGTGGGCAGAGGCTGCCGCACTGCTGAGCTCTGCTAGAGGCCAAGAGGGGATTCTCTCCCGCACCACAGGGTAGCGTGTGCGCACACCCATACCACAGGCAGGGCCCCTGGGAGCTAGAAAAATGTCAGGGAAGGCTCGGCCTCTCAAGTATTAGGACATGTGCCTCAGGAAGGAGCGGTGCTTCCACGAAGGCAAATACCAAAGACAAAAGTAAAAAACTATCCCGGGGCACCTGGGTGGCTCAGTGGGTTAAAGCCTCTGCCTTCGGCTCAGGTCCTAATCCCAGGGTCCTGGGATCGAGCCACGCATCGGGCTCTCTGCTCGGCGGGGAGCCTGCTTCTTCTCTCTCTGCCTGCCTCTCTGCCTACTAGTGATCTCTGTCAAATAAATGAATAAAATCTTAAAAAAAAAAAAAAGAAAAAAGAAAAAACTATCTTATACCTAGCTGCCTCTGCTTCAATTCCATGGCCAGCAAGCAACCTCTTCACGTGGAGTTCGTTTTCTTGCCCTGATGTGGGGGGGGGCGGAGGGGGATGCCCAGAGAGCACACCCCAAGTTCAACAGGCAGAAGAAATTCACACCTTTACTTCACCAGGCAAGTCTGGCATCCATGTACAAGACTGAAGGTCTGGCTCGTGACCAAGAAACAGCAGAGGCCACAACCCCTACCTTCTGGGTGATGTCACCGATAAATTCCGACCCCAGGGTTGGTGGTAGGTAGAACTTCATTTCTTCCTGCTTCTCTTCCTGTTCTTTTTTGATGCTGATCTTTACCGGCTCCGGGAGGCTGAGGATGTCCACCTCCTCTTCATTCTCTGGCTCTCTTTTCTGAAACTGCTGCAGGTCCTCCAGTTTCCGGCAGAGGTTGTCGGCAGAGGAGAATGACGACGGGCACTCTAAATGAGAGGGGGTCAGTCTTAGGACAGCTGTGCTGGCCACAGGGAAGGACCTACCATCTCCATAAGACCAGCAGTCCGAGACCCAGAGAAGAAGGGTCAGTATCAAGGGAGCTGACCTTCTTTCCAGTTCTTGAATGCTGTGGATCTGTAACTGTGAGAACTAGGAATTTATGAGACAGACAAGCACAGAGACAGGTGACTCGTGTTACCTATATACGTGATGCAACTGTGATCTAAGACAAAACAGTACGTAATTTGGACTCACACCACCAAAATCTAGACCATTCCCTAAAGCCCCAGATACTAACGACTAACCCATTTTCATATTATTTAAGACTGGAAAATCTTAAAGTGCACAGCAAGGAAAATATCACCCAGCTGAGCCCCTCTCACTGCTCAGAGGCTAGTACGTTAACACATAGTACACACTGAGCGTCGTCTGTAAGATGCTGATGTACACAACGTCTAACACAGAGTACAAAGCCGGAGGAGACCTCAGAACCTTCCAGCACATCCTTTCACCTTACGGATGAGGAAGTGAGGTCCACACCAGGTACAAGATGGGCTTAGGATACCCAGGCAGGCTGGTGGTGGGGCATCCAGCTTCTGGCTTCTTCTGTTTCACTGACTGGCCCTTACAAATTCACCAGTCACTGTAACAGAACGCCTGGTGTGTGTGACGTGCTGTGCTTCCCATATGCTGCCAGTGAAGCAAGGAGATGACCAACATGCCTTCTGTCCTCCGAAGAACTTAGATACTTATTTCTGACAAACCAGTAAGGTTCTGGAATTAGTGTTGCTGGATTTCAGAGAAAGGAGAGGTCATCCTGCATTAGGGCTCTCAGGAAAGCTTCATGGAGGAAATGGAACTTGTGCTAAGTCTTAAGAACCCCCTCTCCTTCACACACACACTACCTGTGTTCCAGGCTCTCTCAAACTGGGAGGTAGAGCTCCTGCTTTTCTAGAAAAGTAGGGTTGGGAGGAGAAAACAACCCTTCTTATTCTTTAAGGTGAAACTCAAAAATATTCTCCCTACGTATCCTTTGTGCCCTGCTCCCACCCCCACAGAGCACAAATGTTTGTCTGTTTACCATAAAACAATTCATCTCATCTGCAGTACTAATTAGTGGTTTCCATTTTTGTCTCCAGCACTGGGTATGTCCTAGCGAGGTCTGGAGATAAAGTAACACATAAGACAGCGCCTACATCTTCGAGGAGATTGGGTAGACCGGTCTATGAGGGGTCAAAAGGTCACAAAGGAAGGAGAAGTCAGTTCCATCTGGAGGAAAGGAGGGGGAATAGCAAAGTCTTCAAAGAAGAAATGATGCTAAGGAGAGGGACCCTGAAACAAACAGTATGTGTCTGTCATATGCCACAGGCTGGAATATTCCTGGCTGAGGCCCAATGCTGGGGACACTCGGGCACAAATAGTTCTGTAGGGTCTGTACTGGGACCAGAGGGAGACAGAACACACAGCTACAGGTGAGCCAAGGCCCCTGTTCCTCAAGGCCTCCAGGGCTTAAGCGGCCCAGCCCAAGAACCTTGGAAGCAGAAAAGTTGAGCGCCTGTTCCATGAAACCACCTCTCAGGCTACTGACAGGCCCAGGGAGCCCCACTGAAGGCATACCTGGCTCGCTGTCGATCTGGGTCAGCACGTCCTCAATAGAGTCGCCGTCGCTCCTCAAGGTCTCGGGATCGGGTGGGGTGTAGCCGTGGCAGCGACACCAGTGAGCGATGTGCTTGGTTTTAAGGGGAGTCAGGTGGTGAAATCTTGGATTCTTCTCTAGGATTTCTTGTAAGACTTTTCGCATGGTCATCGCTCTTTGCCACTTAAAAACAAAATTTTTTTGAATCATAATCAATTTCAAACTTCACAGTGTGTTCAAATAAATCACCCAACTGTAAATGACCATGCTAACTTAACTTGTTAGAATTGTTTTTTTTTTTTTTAATCTGATTGTGTTTTTAAGAAGTTTTAAAAAGAAGCAAAGGAACTTCTACCTGATGTTCATGAAATAACACTGAAACTCCTAGGTGTGGCCTAAAAGGTTTTCCACCTGGTCTCTACCTTTGGTTTCCAGCTTCCCTCTCCCCACTGAAATTCTCCAAACCCATCACACTAACCTTCTCACAGCTTCCTAAGCATACGCCTTAGGCTGTGCTACTTTCTCCTAGAGCCCCACCACCGAGGACCGTAGCAGCCACATTGTAAGTACTCAACAAATACTTGGTTTCATTTTCATATAGTGAAAGAAAATCATAAAAGATGTTTAGAAATTTTTATCAATGCAGAAATAAGTAGCCCTATTAGAGGCTAGCAGCTACAAGTATTTGAAAACTGAGATTTTAAATGGAGGAAAAAATTCTACCATTAAATATTTAACAAAATGCGCTGTAAATTTTATCACTCTTCTGTCAGACGAGGTTTATGGAAGCAGCCAGAATGCACGTATGTTCTGGTTACCGTCTCCCCAGGCTCTGGGAAGCCCACAGAACAACTGGGATTACCTCGGCAGCTCTCCTTTTCCCAATGTTCCAGCCGTAATACTGCTCCACAGACTTCGCAGAAAAACAGCTGGCGTCCTCACCTAGAACGCACATATCCAGCACACTCTGAATAAACTTAGGCTGCAGTCAAATCTTTTTCGCTAGAGGTATGTCCTGAAGTTTCTCTAGACCTGTTTACGGGACCTGTGTTCCATACCTTGCCAAGCTCTCCTGCAGCCTAACACAGAGGCCTTCTGCCTAAAAGGGAAGGCATCTTATTTATCCGTGTGTATGCAAACAACGGGGCCTCTGGGGAACCGGCTTCATGGCAGAAGCCTGCCTACCCCTTGGGCACAGTGCACATGGCGTGCGCCAGCAGGAGCAGATGTGAGATCCAGCCCTAACTCACTGAGTAGTGTCGGGCAACTCACGGCACCTCTCTGGGCCTCAGTTTTCCAACCTGTAAAATGACTGTTGGGAAAGGTTTCTGACCTGCTTTCCAGCTCTAATATTCTCTTTGTATCTAACATTTTAAAACACAGAGATTTAAAAAATTTTTCCTGTAGGGCTAGGAAAATGTCCCTGAATGTGTACTTTGAACTACCTCAGAATGACCCCCAGGCTTCAAGAACCAAGGGAAAAGAGGTAATTTCTTTGCTGTTAGAAAAAAAATAAGCAGGGCAGGCTGTACATGGCCTATTGTTTTCATAATCCCATGAATGTAATAGGATACTCTGCTTCCTCCCTTGCCTGTAAATGTCTGCAGTCATCTTGCTTGAGTGGACACACCTAAGTATCAACAGGCTACCTGCCCCCTAAAGGCAGCTGGTTCTGTCAGAACAACTGCGGCTAAGAAGCAAGTGTTTGTTTCAGTCTTGCTGATAAGGGGCAGTGACAGCAGACTTCACTGCTAGAAGCCTGCATAATCGTGCACTTCAACAAAGTGAGGGACAGTGGGTGACAGAAGATTAATGGCTCTGGAGTCAAACAGACCCAGGTTAGTATTCTTCCTCAGCACCCACAGCTAGTGATCTTGAGCAAGTTACTTAACCTCGCTTGTCCTCAGTTTTCTCATCTGTAAAAATGGGAGGTGATACCGCCTATCCCACGAGAGACAGTAAAAGTACAGAGCCTGCAGAGTCTGGCACATTGTAGGCAAATGCTTATTTCTTTCCTTATTAAAAACATTAAAAACTAATGCAGTTTTAATTATATACACAACAGACTTATAATTTACATACAATAAAAGACCAACTGGTTGACCAAGATATTGTGAATTCTAAGATCCTGCAAATGAACTATAGTTAGAACCCAAACCACCTAAGGTAACTACCACATCCATATTACTTTATAATGTAAGATGATTCAAGGTGACTCAATATCCCAGTTGTTCACAGCTTTAAAAATGCATCCATATATTCAGATAATGGTCTTACTTTTTGCAGTGACTAAGGGGATCTTCTTTACTACTGCTGTTAAGAGTTGCTGGATAGTTTCTAAATGGTCTATCCTGAGAGGGATTAAAAAAAAAAGAATAGTAAGGTAGAAAATACAACAGCTTCTAGCCATACACACACACACGAAGTCATGTATATATTCACACACACACACACACACACACACACGAAGTCATGTATATATTCCCTTCTTTCAAAGGGAATTAAAATTAACTAATTATATTGGGGATGTCTTTCCTTCCACAGATAACATTCTAAACATAAACTAGATGAGACCCCAGAAATAAAATTATACAAATATCATTTTATCTGTATTTTAAAATTAACTAGCCACATACCTTTTTGCAGCTGACTGCCAGTAGGGCAGGACATTACTATATACAAATGCCTATTCTTAGGATTATTCCAGCTCATGCTGTCACCAATCATGTGAAAGTGGCTTAAGTTTCCACCATCCCCAATAATTTGACTTACTTCAAAATACATGATCAGAGGTGGGTTCCCAATTTGGAAATTAGAAAATCTCATGAAGTACTTTCAGAAGAGTATGTACAGCCCATGAAGAGGCATCTGTTTACGATCAGGCGGGTGTGTGGAAACTCAGGTGTAAAATGTATACACACCCAAGAATTACACCATGAGAAATTTCATGCCCAAGGATTCAGCAAAGAAAGCACATGCCGTCAAGCTCCGCTAGAGGGAGATCTGGCCGACCTGAGGCTTTGGAGGCAACAAGTCCATGGCTGCCCCTAGGTGATATGGAAGAGTTCAGTGAAGACTCCCCGGCCGTGCATTAAGAGTGAACACCTGCTCACTGCACGTGGGCAGAGGGCTTCCACCCTCCAAAGCGCTAACTTCTATACAGACACAACTCTACATAAACTCAGCTCTCACAGGCATGGGTTTCAAAAAGTACCCCGTAAAACACCAAATGCACAACTCCATTAGAAAGGAATGAAATAATCACTTGATGACATAGTTTCCCAGCTCAGAACTTTCTTCTGTTTTCACAGCTGTCTGACCCTCCTGGGAGAGGCAGCCTGGCCCAGGCACTTCTGGTTCGGTCTTTACTACAAAAGAAGAGCAACAAAAAAGAGCTGTCAGCCTTCAATGACGGAAGGACACGTGCTGGCAGAAACAAAAGCTCTTCCACGGAGACTCAGTGAGGAAACTGCCACACCAGCTGCTGTAGGGACACAGCCGGGGGACTGAGATGGTGCCCAGCGTCACAGGATCAGCAGACAAGGGAAGAACTGTTACCTCGGGTCTCAGGGGGAGTGACTCCAGGCTCGTGACAAGGCAGGGCAATAAAGTGGCTTTTTATATATTTCTTCAAGGGCCAAGCACACTGCTATGCGATAGCCCCCTCACTAAACCGCACACACACACACTGCCACGTTAAAATACAATGCTGGCCCGTTCTAAGTTCTAGTATCCTTTTGGATATCATCTCTCCAGCTAAGTTCGTCAACTTTCGGCATTATCTTAGTGTTCTGACACATAAGACAGAAAGCAAAAATCAGATATACTGTGCTTGGAAACAGCCAAGCCAAACACAGCAGGCTTGAATCTTACCAAATTTACTGATGGAAGATAGCAGTGTCTCAGGTGCACGTGCCTCCCTGTACTTCCGCAGTCTTCTGGGATCAAAAGCACATGACCACACACCTTCTACGTCTGCATCAGCTTCCCTGCCTTCAGTCTCTTCCCCTTAAAACTCACCCTGCATGTCAGCACATGACCTTTGTCGAGTCCTTTCTGTACTCAACATCCTCAGTACTTTCCTACATAACAAGGGTCTACAAATGAGATATGCTCCATCTCTCCCCTTTTTACTGATGCATAAACTTGCATAAATGCACAAATACCAAGTGTATGGCTCAGCTGCCTGGGTACACGCCCACGGACACCATTCCAATCAGATATAGAGTATTTTGGGGCACCTGGTTGGCTCAGTCAGAAGAGCATGGGACTCTGGATCTTGGGGTCATGCCATAAGGGGTACAGAGCTTACTTAAATAAACCTCAAAAAAAAACAAAAAACCCAAAAAAAACAAAAACAAAAACAAAAAACAGATGGCGTATTCCTAGTCCTCAACCAGGCTCCCTACACTTCTGGTGGTTCCTGCCCGCCAAAGACAACCACCTTTCATCCACTTTGAACTTCACATAACTGGAATCATACTGTACATAATCCTGTCCATCAGCATTTTTTAGCTATTAAAAACAACAATGCAATGGCCGTTCTTGCGTATGTCTTTTGATGGATGGACGTACGTGCATACTTCTTGGAAGTGTATTTGCTGGAACTGAGAGCAGATGTACGTTTAGCTTTATTAGGCAATGCCAAACTGCTTTCCTAAGTGAATGTATCAATTTATAGTGCCACCAGCAGTGCAGGTGAGTTCCAGCTGCTTTGCATCCTTGCCAAAACTCGATATGGCCAGTGTTTCGAATTTTGGTGCTCTAACAGCATCATCTCACTATGCCTTTTATTTGCATTTCCTTGATAACTAATGAGTTTGTACAACTTTTCACATCTTTACGAGCTATCTGGATACCCTCTCCTGTGCAGGGTCTGTTCACATTTTTTGCTCTTAAAACATCTGTGCCCAAAGTCATGAAGACATTCTTATCTTCTCTTCTAGAAAGCTTTACTATTTAAGCTTTCACATAAGTTCATAAGCCAACTCAAATTAAATTTTTAAAAATATTTTATTTATTCATTTGACAGATAGAGACCACAAGCAGGCAGAGAGGCAGGCAGAGATAGAGAGGAGGAAGCAGGCTCCCCACTGAGCAGAGAGCCCAATGCGGGGCTCGATCCCAGGACCCTGAGATCATGACCTGAGCCAAAGGCAGAGACTTAACCCACTGAGCCTCCCAGGCACCACAACTCAAAATAATTTTTGCTTATGGTGTAAGGTTCATTGTTTTCCTAAATGGATATATCTAATTAACCCAGCACTACTAATGGAAATGGACACCCTTTCCCTACTGAACATCACAAATCAAGTGACCATAAATGTGTGTCTATTTCGGGGCTTTCTTTTCTATTCCATTATTCTGTCTACTCTTGAATATAACACTATCTCAATACTGTGACATTATAGTATGTGTATCTGGTGGTCCAAGTCCCCTACCTTTTTGTTCTTCAAAAGTGCCTCAGCTATTCTGGGCCTTTGCATTTCCACATACATATTAGACTTAGCCTATTTCTACACACACATACACACACACACCAACACTGCAGGCATTTTGGCTGGGACTATATTGATTCTGCATGACATTTTTGGGGGGAGAACTGATAACACATCAGGTCTTTCTGAAAATTAATATAATTTATATTTATAATAAATTACAGTTGAGCCTTAAACAACTTGGAGGGTTAGGGGTACCAAATCTCTGCAGTCGAAAACCCATCCCTAAACTTTTTGACTCTTCAAAAACTTAACTATTAATAGTGTACTACTGATTGGAAGCCTTAATGATAACATAAATGGTTAATTAACACATAATTTGTATGTTATATGTAATATATACTGTATTCTTACAATAAAGTTAGAGAAAAGAAAATATTAAGAAAATCATAAAGAAGAGAAAATATATTTTCTCTTAAGTACTGTACCGTATTGAAACAAATCTGTGTTAAGTGGACCTGCACAGCTCAAATCTGTGTTGTTTAAAGGGTCAACTGTATTTATAACAATAAGGTATATCCTCCCATTTATTTAGGTCTTTTCACTTTCAGAACTGTATAGTAGGTTGTTAGCGTTTCATTTCTCTATAAAAAATTAACTTTTTACATGTAGATATTGACTTGTAGTGAATGACCCTGCTAATTTCACTGTTAGCACTATATATTCCCTCAATCCCTAGTGATTCCAAGACTTCAAGTATCAGAAGGAAGTACTTAGAAAAAGTTCACGTCCTCCAGCTCTGTAGGTACAAGTACACTCACATTAATCCAGCCCTCAAACAACTACAGAATTATATAATTAGCATTTTCAGGTTGACAGAGCTATTCTACTAGAGAATATGGTCTCACAGAATTGTGCACACAGCCCTAAAGTGGAAACAACCCTAAAGTCCACCAACAGGAGAAATGATAAACAAATTCAAGTGTACCCCTACCATGTGGAATACTATTCAGGTACAATACGTATGAATCTCCAAAACATTACAGTGAATAAATACAACCAGACATGCATGTGCTTCCACTCGTATAAAGTTAAAAAAATTGGCGCAACTGTTCTGTAGTAAGGGAAATCAGAACAGCGGCTGCCTGTGGCGGTTGGGAACTGACTGGAAGGGGCACAAGGTAATGAAAATCTCTGTATCTTGAAATGGAAAATGGGTTACATGGGTTTATTTTATTTTTTTTTTTTTTTAAGATTTTATTTATTTATTTGACAGAGAGAGATCACAAGCAGGCAGAGAGGCAGGCAGAGAGAGAGGAGGAAGCAGGCTCCCTGCTGAGCAGAGAGCCCGATGCGGGGCTCGATCCCAGGACCCCGAGATCATGACCTGAGCCGAAGGCAGCGGCTTAACCCACTGAGCCACCCAGGCGCCCCGGTTACATGGGTTTATAAAGAAGTTCATCAAATGGTATGCTTAGGACCTCTGCATTTCAATACACAAGATTTTAGCACAATTAAAATAAAAACAGAGATGCTCTGACCCCGGCCCAAAATCAACTGAATCCGAATCTGTATGAGGAAGGCCTACGAAACCTAACTGTTATTGAGGAGAAATGCTGGTCCAGGCTGATACCAGTTCTTTTGTCAGTATCTTCTGATCAGATGTTGGCAAACTTTTCTTATAAAGAACCAATCAGTAAATATTTTAGGCTCTATTGGTCCTATGACCTTGACTGGTACTTACAAACTCGGCCATGAAAGAGCACCCACAGATCATATGTAAATAAATGGGAATGGCTGGGTGCCAACTAATTTTATTTTTAAAAAAGGCAGGAGACCGTAATCGGCAAATCCATTTTACTTGCTCATGGCGTAAGTTACAAATCCACCTTTTCTCAAGACTACTGTGGAAGATCTGGCATGCCTGAAAAGCAGATGTACTTCAAAGTCTGACTGCACTGCTTTTTAACTTTCAAGGTTTGGGAAGGAGATATTTAATATCTCCAAACTTCAGCTTCCTCATCTGCAAAATGGGCCTACTAACTATCTGGAAGTCCTGTGAGAATCAGTGATCTGTATAAAGCAGCTAGCGTGGTGCCTGGTACACCTGAGGCTCTTAGCACGTGGTAGCTCTCGGTATTCTAGATGTTACAGACCTAACCCACCACACTGGCTCAGTCTACTTAGTACTCAAAATGTCCCCCTGGCCCGCCTGCCAACACCTGGCCCCTCTGAAGTTCCTTTACCACAACTATACCTCCCCAGATGAGTCCCCTTAACTGGTTTACTTCCCCGAATAAGCCCTCTGAGTGTCTCTATTGCTTCTCCATGTGGCAGCACTCTCCTGCTCCCTCACAGTGCTTCCCTCTTCTCAAGTCCAGGCTGTAACCCACATTCCATATTGCATATGAAGTCCTCCACCCTGCACACCCCCCGCCCCTGGCTAGACATCCGAGACTGAAAGACTGCAGCATTCACTTTCCAGATCACTTATCCCGCATTTATCGATCACGCTTGCTGTCTACTACTACTCTCTTCAAGTTCTTAAAGGGGAGATGATGCTCTGTCCGTCCCTGTTTCCCTCAGTGTCCAATCTACTATATAAACTAGAAATACTCGGTAAGTATTTCTGACGTGACTGATTCACAGAGGCTGAAATTCAAGGGACCCAGATTATAAAAATGTCTTACACAAAACTTCCAGGTAAAAATACCATGAGAAACTACCTACCTTTTGTAACAGCTGCTGAAGCAGAGCTGGGGATAATCGGAGTTGGGGCAGCTACAGGCAGAATGGCAGGGGATTTGTTGGCAGAAAATGACTGAACCACTAACAAGTTAAAAAAAAGAGAGAGAGGCTGTAAGAAATATAAAAATTATCACTCCCAGGTGATGGCCTCATTTTAGAAGAATGGCACAGAAACAGTTTCAGTACAACGTTAAAAAGGTCCTTACTGAATATAGTGATTTGACAAGGTCAAAGCTGTTTACTGACAACACAAGGCTAAGTGAGCTATGATCTTCAACTGTGGAAATGGGGGCTTGTCACTAAGACAATAAAAATCCAATCAGCCTGGAACTCTCACAAATCCTTAAAATACTACCCCTCTACTGAACTTTAGAAGTGGGGAGCTACTTAGAAACCAATGCATCATCTGGGGTTCACATTCAGGGTGAGAGTCGGTGCTCCAGAGTTCAAAAGGCCGAGGAGAACAGATGGTCAAAGGGCCCAGGCCGCATGGGGAGGGGCCGCCGGCAGAATATGGCCCTCCGTCCCCCAGCCATGGAGGCCAGCACACCCCCGGGTGATGGACTTACCTTTATTCACAGGCATCAGGATAGTCTGTACCCCTCCGGATGTATTTACACTGAGTGGCTTGAGCTGGCTGGGGATCGTCAGGACAGCCTGCTGGGGATTGGATTGACTGGAGTGAATCTTTAGCAATCCTAAAACAAGTTGGAAGATAAGGCCAAGCTGAAGATCAGATGCTTTCTTGAAGTCCTGCCCTCTTGAGCATTCACGTGTTCTCACAGGAGGAAGGTCTTAGGGCATTTACCCCTTCAACGAACAGAAAGCTGGAAGCATGAGGCATGGGCGTGGCAGATTTCACAATGAAAAAAATGACGTGACAGTGAGGACTGAGTTTTGCCCCACAATCTCACTTATAGTCCAGCTGTGGAGACAACAGCATTAACATTTTAAGATAGTTCTCTCCCATGTTTGTTTTCTATGACAATTTCTTTGTTCTGTATACAGCTGTGACAGGTACAAATTGGATGTAAAATTTTATATACTGATTTGGAGAACTGTCATTTCCTACTTAAAAACCTTCTCTGGGGGTGCCTGGGTGGGCTCAGTCAGTTAGGTGTCTGTCTTCTGCTCAGGTCATGATCCCAGGGTCCTGGGATCGAGCCCCACATCAGGCTCCCTGCTCAGCGGGAAGCCTGCGTCTCCCTCTCCCACTCCCCCTGCTTGTGTTATCTCTCTTGATGTGTTTCTCTGTGTCAAATAAATAAATAAAATCTTTTTTTTTTAATTTATTTTTTATTTAAAAAAAAAAACCAGCATCCAGGGGGCACCTGCGTGGCTCAGTCGGTTAAGCATTGGACTCTTGATTTTGCTCAGTCATGATCTCAGGGTGGTGAGATCCAGCCCTGCGCCAGGCCCCACGCCCCCCTCCCCAATCGCTCACATGTTCGCTTTATCTCTCTTAAAAAAAAGAAAAGAAAAACTACAGGATTCGAGGCTCAAGATACTTTAAGGCACTGGAAAGCAGAGGGTATGAGCAAAAGGAAAGGAAACAAATGCTTTCTGAAACAAAGTCTTAAAAAAGAGAATCTTTCTTTGGAATAGATGAATGTCAAATCGGTCTGGTGGTAAGTTCTTACTGAGACGTGCCCTCAGAGAAGACAACTATGACCCGGTTTTTCATATTTTTAAAATCCTTATTTTTATCAAAATATTATAGGCTTATCAGTTGAAAATAAAGTGCTAAAAAGGCTTTGAATTAAATACAGTCATTCTTTCCTCCACCTCTCCCCGTCTTCATGTAGTTCCTCAGCAGCATCCACTTTCAACCCTGTTGGCTCCTTCTTTTAATATTTAGCTCAGTAACTTTAAAAGACTGTCTACTGTAGGCCTTAATTTTGATGGCACACACAGCCTTGCTATCTGGGTAGACGCAGGCATTTTAAGGCACTTCCACCCCTCACCACCAGTAGTGTTCTCTACTGATCCAAAGAACACCACTACGCTGAGATTCCATTTTGTTCTCTGGAGATAATATTTGCTCTTTTTTTAGTTCTTAGTTCTCCTTCAACATCTTACCAAGTCTTCCCACTTTCTTCAAAACTGCTATAAACCACCTCCCCTCTTATATAATTCTCCGTATGGTCAGCTCTCCTAGGTAACTTCTAGTTCAACTCTTTCTAAGAGAGAACTTTGCCTAGCTCTCTGATCTGCTCCACTGGGTCTTCCAGGCCTGCGGACCCGTGGCCATCCTGGGACATCCTTCACCATTATCCTGGGAATTCCCTTTGCCTTCCTTCTATACTGGATCTCGTTTCTTCCTCTTTCTTGCTCTACACCTCTTCACTCTGGTAAAAAATACATATTTTAGTAATGCCTTGAGACAGGGAGCATAGGAGAGAGTTAGAACTGTGCCTGTCTGAAAATATTTCTACTCTCACTCTCAGGAATGACCTGGCTGGCAACAGAATACTCGGCTACAAGTCATTTTCCCCTAGAATTTTGAAGAGTAGCCTCATGGCTTCCAGCACTGCTGAGAAGCCCAATGATAATGTAATTTCTGAACTTTCCTGTTTCTTCTTCTGACGGCTTGTCAGATCCTCTCCTTGTCCCTGGTGTCTTGATTTCATGAACAAACAGTGCCTCCATGTGAGCAATCTTTCATTCGCTGTGCCAGACACCGTGCCTTTTGAGCTTGGAAGTTTGTCTCTTCAATTCTGAGATAAACTGTTTCCTTTCTTGGATCATTTCCTTCCCACTATCTTCTGTTTTCTTTCTGGTACTTCTTTTAGTTTGATATTGCCAGGACTCCCTGATACACCACCGAATTTTCTTGTTTAGTGTCCACTTCTTGGTTTGCTCTCTGCTTCTACCTTGTGCCCCAGAGTTTAGTCTAAATGCTACAGCCAGTGATTCTGTGGAAAGGTAAGGCAGATCATGTTACACCTTTGTTTTAAATCTTCTAATGGCTTCCCTTGGAGTAAAAGTCAAAGTTCTTGACATGACCTCCAAAGGCCCTATGTGATTTGGCCTCTATCACTCTGACTTTATGTCCCAGGACTCTTTCCCTTGCTCATTCTGCTCCAGTCACAACAGTGACCTTGTTCAAAATACTCCATAATGCACACACAAAAAATTAAATTAAAAAATTAATGGTTATACCGCAGTAAAAACAGAGCTGACATATACACAAAAAAATTAACGGGCAGCGGAAAATAGTTTGGCTCTTCTGTGAAAACATTATATACAGAAAGTTTCATCAGCAGCATCTCAGGAAATGAGAACTTAAAGCCAGGAGACTTCATTTACTTCATGTTAAAAACTTAATTAGAAAAGGGGAAGGCAGGAGTATCTGGGTGGTGCAGTAGGTTAAGCACCTGGCTCTTGATTTTGGATCAGGTCATGATCTCAGGGTGGTGGGATTAAGCCTGCACCAGGCTTCATGCTCAGTGGGGAGTCTGCTGGAGAGTCTCTCTCTCCCTCTGCCCCTCACTCTAACCCTCATTCGAGCTCTCTAAAAAAAGAAAAGGAGAGGGCATTTATTTCTCATAAAGTGATCCTTTATTTCTACAATTTCTACTCCAGTCCCAACACAGTGCCTGCAAACATTCTGTTAGCAGAGAACAGCCCTCCCTATACTAGAACTTGCTTGATGGTAACTGGTAGGTGGAAGTATGGGAAAAACTACCAGCCTTTATCTCTGGTATTGAACTACCCAAAAAAAAAGATATGGGGGCTTGGGGACACGTATGAAATGTAGTAATAATAGCAATAAGAATAACAATACTCACAATCTTTTATCCAAAGGCACTAAGGTACTGTCGTGTATGTGTGTGTTAATGTATGTTTTTGTGTGTCGATTAGTGCCAGCGGGTAAGCTGTTATCGATCTATAACAAGGTCACACAGAATCTAATAGTGTTCAGAAACATTCCTAACAGTGTGACACTGCTGTGACATTTTTATTGTACTTTACAGGAGTATCTGCCCTCAAGCACATTAGTATTTTTGTGGCAAAACACAAATATTCATAGTCAGTCATATAAACAGCCTGTCCAACAGAGGTCAGATTTCACACTAAAATTAGTTACGCAAACAAAGAGGCAAAAAAACACCTTTGGTCTTCACAGCTTTTTTGGATTTTAGAGTTCAAGGAAATGCAGACAAGGATACTAAACTCTCTAATAGCGGCGATTATTTATATAATGGCTACTACATGTCGGACAGCAGTCTAAGCACTTACATATGGATTCATTTAATCCTCTCAACCGTATGTCAGTATTATTATCAACCTTATTTTACAGCCAAGGAAACTGAACCAAGTTTTTCAACTAAGGCAATTTGGCTCCAGGATTTGTGCTGTATGTTAACCAACGAAGTGAAAGGCACATTTCTTCTGGGGCCATTTGGGGTGGGCCCAAAGAGCAGCCATCTTGCCAGACTGTACCCATGTCACTCTAACACTGCCCAACATAACAACTAATGTTAAAAATCACAACTTGGAGTCATCAAGGCTAACTTATATTTTATATACTGTTTATGAAAATATGTTTTATAATGTTTTCCATTCAAAACTGATCATAATAAAAAAGAAAATGATAATGTAAGGAGAGTAAATTTTCAGTTCTCCACAAAGTTACGTGATGAAAGCAGTTAAAATACTCCACAGAGGGCGCCTGGGTGGCTCAGTGGGTTAAGCTGCTGCCTTCGGCTCAGGTCATGATCTCAGGGTCCTGGGATCGGGTCCCGCATCGGGCTCTCTGCTCAGCAGGGAGCCTGCTTCCCTCTCTCTCTCTCTGCCTGCCTCTCTGTCTACTTGTGATCTCTGTCTGTCAAATAAATAAATAAAATCTTTAAAAAAAAAAAAAAAAAAAAATACTCCACAGAGCTCTGGATGGCTAAAATCTTATTATAGCATTTAAAAATTATTATTCCATCCACAAACCATTTCAGACTTAAGGATTTATGTGTAGATTTTAGGAATAAATTATCAAAAAAGCAGCTATATGGAAAATATTGCTGAGTTAATTATTTTTAACAACTTACTATACAAAATATCATTGAAGACCTTCCAAAAAATGTTCTAGCCCAAAGAAGGCAGAGAGCAAGAATGTCCTTATGATACAACTGACCTGACACGGTGGCCTTCCCGGAGATGGGGTTTGGCGTGGGCACCAGGGATGTGGCGCTGATGACGGAGGGAGCTGCAGCCTTGCAGGTTGGCATGGGGGTCTGGCTCACACACACTGCTTGCTGCCCAGAAGTTTTCATTACAGAACCGATAGCAGACGATGAATTGGGAGTTGTTCCTTCTGACTGCTCACACACAGGGCCAAAAATAGTAGAAATTAAGAAGAAAGCAGTGTAACTTACTTAGAACAATGACTGCCATGTAGTATATTCAAAAATATTATCTATTAGCTATTATTTTTAACTAACTGTTAAATGCCATGTCATTTAATTAAATACCATTGCCTCTCTTGTTTGGTGTTTCCAACACTTTCAGAGTTTATGGACCAGAAAAGTTTTTAAATTTTTAATGGCTACGATATTAAAAACAACAACAAAAACCAAAAACCCTCACCACCTATTACATCACTTTATAAAAGGATATTTCAACACCAAAAAGAGGAGAACATAAACTCAGAATATAAAAGTGGAATAAAATGAGTTTTATTAAAAACTCACTATAATGTCTTAACATTTGTTTCATTCATCCCACTAACATCTACCACATGGCAGGCATGACATTAAATGCTAGGGCCCAGGGGTGCCTGGGTGGCTCAGTGGGTTAAGCCCCTGCCTTCGGCTCGGGTCATGACCTTGGGGTCCTGGGATCGAGTCCTGCATCGGGCTCTCTGCTCGGCGGGGAGCCTGCTTCCCCCTCCCTCTCTCTGCCTCCTTCTCTGCCTACTTGTGATCTCTGTCTGTCAAATGAATAAAGTTTAAAAAAAAAAAATTTATAAATGCTAGGGCCCAGAGATAAAAGCCCTCAAGGGGGACAGGTTTACCAAACTATGATGAGTGCTATAGTAGGCACCGGTACAAGGTACTATTAAAATGGAGAGGAAAATTACTGTTTCTGTCTAGGGATGGGAAGCAGAGAGCACTGGGAAAACTTCATGTACAAACATGGCGCTTTAGGAGAATCCTCAAAATTCAAGACAAGGAAAGGGGGAGACAAAGGAATGTTTCTTGGCAGAAGTTGGCAGAAGATAGTAGATAGAAAGAGAAGCATGAAAGAACACGATATGTTCAAGGAACTACAAAGTAAGAGTGATATGACTAAGCATATGAAAAGTAGTAGGAGATAAAACCTGGAAAAAGAACTTGAGGTGCCAAGACAATTCAACGGGGAAAGAGACCAACTGTTGCTGGGCCAATTGGCTATCTATATACAAAAGAATGAAGTTTGGCCCCTACCTCACACCATGTAAAAATTAACTCAAAATGATCAAAGACCTACATATAAGAGCTAAAACTATAAAACTCTTCGAAGAAAATACTGTCTTAAATTTTGTGACTTTGGATTAAGCAATGGCTTCTTAGCTATACCAACAGCATAAGCAATAAAAGGAAAATAAACTGGGGCGCCTGGGTGGCTCAGTGGTTAAGCTGCTGCCTTTGGCTCAGGTCATGATCTCAGGTCCCTGGGATCGAGTCCCACGTCGGGCTCTCTGCTCAGCAGGGAGCCTGCTTCCCCCTCCCCTGCCTGCCTCTCCATCTACTTCTGATCTCTGTCAAATAAATAAATAAAATCTTAAAAAAAAAAAAAGGAAAATAAACTGGACTTCATCAAAATTTAAAAATTTTGTGGTTTTCAAAGAGTACCCTCAAGAAAGTGAAAAGATGTCCCACAGAGTGGGAGAAAATTTTTGCAAATCTCATAAGAGACTCATATTTAGAATATCTAAAGAACACTTAAAACTCAGTAATAAAAAAGAATAATCCAACTAACTCATGAGCAGAGGTTCTAAAGAGAATTCTCCCAGGAAGATACAGAAATGGACAATAAGTACATGCAAAGATGCTCAATATCATAAGCCATCACAGAAATGCAAATCAAAACCACAATGAGATACCATTTCACACCCACCAGAATGGCTGTAACAACAAGAAAAAATGTACAAGAACGAGCATCAGCAAGGATGTGGAAAAACTGGGGCCCTCATACATTGCTGGCAGGAGTCTAAAATGGTGCAGCTATTTGGAAAAACTGGCAGTTCCTCAAAATGTTAAACAGCTTATGATATGACCAGGAATCCCTATGTATATAGCAAAAAGACCCCCAAAACATATGATTATACAAAAACTTGAACATAAATGTTCACAGTAGCATTATTCATCACAGTCAAAAGGTAGAAACCATCCATATGTCCATAAACTAATAAATATATAAACAGAATGTGATATGGCCATAAAATTGGATATTGACTATTCACGTATAAAGTAGTACTAAGACATGGTACAACGTGGATGAACCCTGAAAATATGAGAAAGAAGCCAGACACAAGAAAGATCAGTGGTTGTCTAGTATCGGGGGGTTGGGGGGAGTGGGAAGAGGGTGAACAGGGAGTGAAGGCTATTGCATATGGAGTGCGCTTGAGGAGTGATTAAACATTCTAAAACGGATAGTGATGACGACTGCACAACCTTGAGAATATAATAAAAACCACAGGAACTGCACACTTGAAAATGGAGAATTTCATGGCATGTGAACTGTATTTCAAGTTTTTAAAAAATATAAATATGACCCACTGGTATATCTGCTAAGTATCTTACGTTTTTACTACTTTGATGTTGCATAACGGTTTTCTACTGTCATGCTAATCCTCACCGGCTGGGCAGGACCGTTTGCTGAGAGGGCCACAGCTGGGGAAGTGGCTGTTGTGATCACCCCTCCTGCCACTCTGAGCATGGTGGTTCCAGGCTTTGAGAGTTGCGAGGTGGCTGGCACAGACTTCAGTGTGCTATCAGATATTTTCATTAGCGATGCTTGTCCCCCAGGGGCTGCCTGCAGAAACAAAATGGGTTGAAGTAATAAAGTTGCCCTGGTTCACAGGCACCGTTTATTCCTTACCTAGGCCGGGCCCATGAATCAGAGCATATCCAAGAAGGTCTTGCTAATCACATACAGGTGTCTGGGCACCTTTCCAGTAAGCTCTCAAGTTTGACTTTTTACGTACAGACATTCCTTTAGCTCTAATGCAGAGTAAGTAAAGGAATGCATTTGCAAGTCACTATCTGGCGGCAGTGACTGCAGAGATACCAGGTCATGTGTTACCAGAATTTGCTCTTAAATGTACATGTAACCTTTAAACATGAAAATCTAAAAAAGATGGGCCAGATTTAAATGGGTACATTAAGTGCTCTAGGCTGGTTCAGGCTCAGATTTTTACTACCACTCAACAAATGTAGTACCATTCAACAAACTACAGTTTTACTGGGTTAAATCAAGGCTCAGCAAGTTTTTCCTGTAAATGGCATAAGCGTGGAGAGCACTGCGGGCCATATGGTCTTTGTTTCAACTCCTCAGCTCTACTGTTACAGCATGAAAAGAGTGTGGCTGTGTGCCAATAAATTATTTATAAAAACAGGAAGCCTCTGGCATAGTATGCAGACCCCCTGGCCCAAATGATTGCTTAATGCCCAAATTAATATACTCCACAAGAAGAGACCATTCTTCAGTCCTTGAGGAGCTACTTTGTGTCAGGATGGCAGAAAGCATTTTTATGTACCTTACGTCATTCAACCTTGTCATAAACTTCAGAGGGTAGGTTCTAGTCTCATTTTACAGATGAAGAGATTAAGGTCAGTAGTTTTACCAGGACCACACAGTTAGTAACAGGAGGAGACATGACTACAATCTAGAAGCAGTAGCCAGGCATAACTTATTTGCATTGGAGTCTGATGCAAATTAAAACCACAATGAGGTATCACTTCATACTCACAAAAATGGCTAAAAATGTAAAGGAAGAAGGTCCTCCGTGTTGTTGAGGATATAGGACAACTGGAACTCTCTCATGTTACTTATGGGAGAGTCAAATGGTACAACCACTTTGCAAACCATTTGTCAGTTTCTTATAAACTCTCTTATACACATATACTTACCCTAGGACCTAGCTATTCTACTGCACAAAAGAGCTATACAAGAATGTTCGTAGCAGTATGGCTCATAATAAAAAAACAGAAATAATCCAAGTGTCTATCAACAGCAGACTAAAAGTCATACAAGAAAATACTACTTAAGAATAAGAAAGAATAGGAGCACCTGGGTGGCTCAGCAGGTTAAGCCTCTGCCTTCAGCTAAGGTCATGATCTCAGGGTCCTGGGATTGAGTCCCGCATTGGGCTCTCCGCTCAGCAGGGAGCCTGCTTCCCCCCCACCATCTCTCTCTGCCTGCCTCTCTGCCTACTTGTGATCTCTCTGTCAAATAAATAAATAAAATCTTAAAAAAAAAAGAATAAGAAAGAATAAACTACTGATACACATATGAATAAATCTCAAAAACATGTTAGAACAACAGAAAATGGACATGAAAGACTATATACTATATAGTTTTACTGACATGAAGTTCAGAAACAGAGATTAGCTCATCTATGGTGACAGAAATAGAAAAATGATGACTGAAAGGGAAATGAGGGTACATTTTAGAGTGATGGAAATGTTCTGTATCTTGACTGGGATAGTGCTTGCATGAGTTTACACATTGGTCAACACTCACTGAACAGTACACTTAAGATCTGTGCACTGCTCTATGTAAATAATACTTATTAAAAAGCAACGATAATTGTTCTGCTGTAGCCAAACAGGGAGAATGTCACTACACTGGCTGCAACCATAAGCAGGTAAGAAAAAATAAGCTAAGATTTTAAAGAACTGCCTGAAGAATTCTGGGACCTCATATCTGTTTAAATACTAAGCATACCTGACCAAAGGGAAATTAGTACTCAAAGAAACCAAACATTAGAAATATGAAAAGATCAGTGATCAAGAAAAAAAAGGGGAAGATGCATAACTATCATAATCAAGAATGAAAGGGAGGGGTGCCTGGGTGGCTCAGTTGGTTATGCATCTGACTTTTTTTTTTTAATAAGATTTTATTTATTTATTTGACAGACAGAGATCACAAGTAGGCAGAGAGGCAGGCAGAGAGAGAGGGGGAAGCAGGCTCCCTGCCGAGCAGAGAGCCCGATGCGGGGCTCGATCCCAGGACCTTGGGATCATAACCTGAGCTGAAGGCAGAGGCTTAACCCACTGAGCCACCCAGGCGCCCCTGCATCTGACTCTTGATTTCAGCGCAGGTCATGATCTCAGGGTTGTGAGATCAAGCCCCGCAGCGGGCCGGCCCCATGCTGGGTGTGGAGCCTGCTTAAGATGCTCTCTCTTCCTCTGCCTCTCCCCACAAACCCCCAATCCCCACTCAGGCACTCTTGCTCTAAAAAGAAAGAAAAGGAAAAGGAAAAGGAAAAGGAAAAGGAAAAGGAAAAGGAAAGAAAAGAAAAGAAAAGAGAAAAGAAAAGGATATAAAAAGGGGCCATCCACATATTTTACAGACATTAGAAGGATAATAAAGGAAAATTATGAACGATTTTATTCTAGTAAATTCAACCACTTAGATGAAATGGACACATTTCCTTGAAGCTGTAACTTATCAAACCTCCCTCAAGATGAAACAAATAACCTGAGTAGTCCTGTATCTAGTAAATAAATTGAATTGATTTAATTATTCTAATTAACAAGACTCCAGGCCATTATGGCTTCACTGGTGTACTCAAGGCAGTCAAGAAACAATACCAAATCTACATAAAATCTTCGCAAAAATGTGAATAGGAGAGAAAAGTTCCAAACTCATTTTAGGAGGTCAGCATCACTCTACTATCAAAACCAGACAAGAATTATGAAGAGAACCATGGACCAATAACCTTACAGAAATTCTAAACAAAATTTTATGAAATGAAATCCAACAATACCTTTAAACAAGATAACATGTCAAAAAGGGCTACAGGGCTAGTTTAACACTTTTTAAAAACTTTCATGTTTTTTAAGTAATCTCTATGCCCAATGTAGGGCTCGAACTCATGACCCGGAGATCAAGAGACACATGCTCCACCAGCTGAGCCAGACAGGCACCCATTGGTTTAACATCGTAAAAATTAATGTAATTCACCATGTTAACAAAAAAAGAAAAAAGATACGATCTTCTCAACAAACACAGAAAAAACATTTAACAAAAATGCAATATCCACATTCCATGCTTTGAGAGCTACTGATTTAGACACAGAGGAAATGCACTATTTTTTTGATAAATGGTATCTTACTGCCTACATCCTTCCATACCTTGTTTGCTTCATTTGGTAAATTTCTGAGATTTAGCTATAGATTCTCTGGCAGGTAATTATGACATCCCTCACCCAGCTAAAATTCCCTGTCATTATTCTTTGGCTTATACTAAAAAAACTATAGAAACAGGTACCAAAACCCCTACAGCATTTACTTTTTTTGTTTTTTTAAGATTTTATTTATTTATTTGACAGACAGAAATCACAAGTAGGCAGAGAGGCAGGCAGAAAGAGAGGGGGAAGCATGTTCCCTGCTGAGCAGAGAGTCAAACACGGGGCTTGGTCCCAGCACCTGAGATCATGACCTGAGCCAAAGGCAGAGGCTTTAACCCACTGAGCCACCCAGGCGCCCCCAGCATTTACTTTTTTTTACAACTAGCCCTTGAACAATAGGGCTTTGAGCTACACATGTCCACTTATATGTGGGGTTTTTTAAACTGTTATTTTAAGAAGGCTCCCTGCCCAACGTGGGACTTGAACTCACAACCCTGATATCAAGAGTCAGATACTCTACTGACTAAGGCTGTCAGGTAGGTGCCCCAGTGGGTTTGTTTGTTTGTTTGTTTTAATAAATACAGTATAGTTCTGTAAATATTCCTTCTTCCTTAGGATTTTTTTTTAAGATTATATTTATTTACTTGACAGAGAAAATGACAGCAAGAGAGGGAACACAGGCAGGGGGAGTGGGAGAGGGAGAAGCAGGCTTCCCAACGAGCGGGGAGCCCAATGTGGGGCTCATCCCAGGACCCTAGGATCATGACCTGAGCCAAAGGCAGACGTTTAAAGACTAAGCCACCCAGGTGCTCCTTAAAAAAAAATGACTTTTTAGTAACATTTTCTTTTCTCTAGCTTATTTGATTGTCAGAAGAGAGTATATAATACATACAATGTACAAAATGTGGGTTAATCGACCATGTTTTCGGTAAGGCTCCCGGTCAATGGTAGGCTATTAACAGTGGGGAAGTCCAGTTATATGTGAATTTTCCACTGCGTGAGAGGTTGGCGCCCCAAAACCGCATTGAGCAAGGGTCAAGTGTATAAGGATATTGTGGCTGTCATCACCTATTACACATTTAGAATCGCCTATATATGAAGTTCCCCCAGAGAAATTTTTAGAATGAGGTATTAAGAAAATTTTATTTCTTTTAAGGAAATATTATGTAAGGGTTTTTTTTTTTTTTTTCCGCCTCTCACAAATAGTGTGAATTTTATAACTGATCATGCTTTGATTTGCTTTGGCAAATATTATACAGGACATAACTGTTTGCATATCTAAGAACTCTCTGGCCTTATCTTCTCATTCTACCTAAATTTCCCCAAATCTCAAGATTTTATCCTTATTTTTCTATTCTATTTTATTGTTCATTTTTTCATGCAACCTTAATTTCTTTGTGGAAAGAGATAAGCTGTAAACATTTAAATAAACGCCATCACCAGCCTGTATTTGGGGAATATGAATATTTACCTGGGTAAACAAAGTGGTTTTTTGTCCAGAGATGACTTTTAATGTTTGTTGTCCTTGTGCAGAAGATGTGCTGACTCCCAGTGTTCCTTGGACCACTGACCCAGTAGTCAGCTGTTTTCCAGATGTCTGGGGTGATGGCTGACCAACTAAAAATGTACCCTAAGTTAGAAACAAATAAAGAACTACTCAGTAATTTGTGAAGTTCAAATGACTTGCCCTCTTTAAATCACAAGGTCCCATGATACAAGCTACAATGCCCCCACTTCAATTTTGCAACTCAGCCAAAATAACTGAAAAGACCAGCTCTGTTCTCGATGTCACCAGCAATAGCTATCCCCACTTCTGAAACTTGGCACAGGAGTTACAGAGGAGGCCGCTGGAAATGCAAGCTCTACAACCTAGTCCTTAAATTTGAGTTATTCAGGCTGATAACTACCCATCCTTCTCAATACGAACATCTAGACCAAAACTCCACGACCTTCCTTAGAAAGGAGTCAAGACTAAAAGGAGCAAGGGGAAAGAAGGTAGAAATTTGTTCCTAATCATGAATCCAGCCTAACTCCAAATGCCAAAACCTGATGGTATCTTTTTGCTTACTCTTATCCAACAGAAAATTTTCAACTGCCTATTAACACTATTAATTACCTCACAGATTTAGGAGGCAACAATCTTTGAGTCAGAAAGCTCTAGGTTTAAGTCCAAATTCAAGGACTGGCTTAGCAGAGAGATCTTGGAAAAGTTACTTAAGTCTTTCTAAATCTCCATGTCCCCTTCTCTCAAAACAAAACAAGCCCCGAATAATACAGATTTATAACGTGACTAAAATGTTAGTACTGACTCCTGATTCCAGAGATGTAAAGATAAATCCACTATAACTAAAGGCCATTGTTAAATAACGAAATGATTTGAAAGATACTAGTCACAAATGTTCCGACCTGAGGAGTCTGCTTCAGGATGTAAGATGTGTAAGTCAGGTGCTGGGAGATCCCTCCTGGGCCAGCAGGGCTCTGGGTCCCTCCTGTGCCACCACCACTGCCACCACCTCCCCCACCGCCGCCGCTTCCTGCAGCTGAGCCAGACTGGAGGTCTGAAAATACAACAAAATGACAGCAACATCATAAGAAATAGTAAGAGGCTTACCAGAGAAAACAGATGAGCCCAGAGAGACATTTCCTTTACAGCAAGATTCCTTCCCGTTCCTATTTTCTCCCGGCTTTTTCTGGTAATATACCTATTCTGTGAGAAGGGTAAGGAGAATGCCCTAGAATTAAGGACTGAAATGGATTTCATTTCAACTGAAGGACAGCTGACTAGTTCAGCAATCTGTACAGTGAAGAACTTGGCTTTTAACAAGACTTCTGACTTTGTTGTGGGAGACAAGGAAGAGTCTGATACTGACACTTTCTAACCAAGTATAGACTACACGCTCAGAAAAGCGCTTCTCAACGTTCTGGCCTTTCATTCAATTTCAGTGACACTGTTGGAATTTGTTGTAATTTCATAGTGCTCTCTTTTCTGCCTCCTTCTGTCCTAAAAAAAAAAAGTGTTTTCCTCATACTGATAATGGCCCCAGAGCCTCATCCTCACCTCCTTTTAAATTCCATTTTAAAGCCTTTGGATCCTCTTTATTTCCCTTTTGGTGACATAATGTATATAAACTAAAACCTAGGTGCCTCTCTGGGTGAACTACAGAATCCTCACATTGTCCTTTTCTTACACATCTCACTTTTAATACCACTGCTTAGGGAGGACGGAGCAATTCCAGGGTGAGAGAACAGAAATCACCCATTACAGTCAGTAAACAACATGGTGACTCGCTCACAGGCTACATTTGGCAATGGCAGCTTGTTTCTAGTGAACTTAATTGCTATACCAATTATACTTCTGATTCAGAGTGAAATAATTCCCTTTACCCTTTCCTTTCCAACACTATCCAAATTGTTTTTCTGTATAGGTCAAAGCAAAAGTTTGTTAAGTCTAGATAAACCACCTAATTTCCTTGGGGTTTTGAGGCTTATACACTAAGGCTGACCCTGTATGTCTCTTTCCATTTCCAAACCTGGCAAACTTAAGGTGCACATCTGAGTAACAGCAGGCAGAGACACTTATTTCCACTCCTACTCCTATCCCCTCCAAAATAAATGACACAGGCTTCCAGCTACCGTCTCCCTGGGTATCCCAAGTTTTTAGATACCACTGAAAAGAACTCTCTCGTTTATAGTTCACACGGACAGCTTTCTCCCAGCGCAGGCTCAGGAGCCATCCCACTCTCGTGTGATTTGTTCTGACCCCAGACTCTGAACCCAATTGCTATAATGAAAAACATAACAGTGTTGCCTCCTAGGACTATGATTACTTAGACCCACTTCTAGTTAAGTTATGTGTAAGTTTTAAATCCACGTAGGCACATACTACCATCATACCACCACAGAGAGCTAGGGAAACACGTCCTGAAACAGGTAAGAGGTGCCCTCGGGTGGAAGAGATGAACATACCCAGAGACCCAAGAACCAAATGATTTAATGACGGACTGACTAGCATTGTTGGTAGCTCGCAGGATGGCTCCTTGAGGGATCAGCAGCAGTTTCCCTTTTCCTGAAGGGTTCTTGCTGTTTGTTGTAAGGTAGAGTTTAGTGCCAGGAGGCAAATTTGCCAAGTTGGCCAAATTAGTGGCTGGTAGCTGCAATGTTGCCATTACTAAAATGGTAAAGGGAAAAAAGAAAAAAAAAATTAAGAGGAGAAAACAGTGAGTAAGACAAATTAGAACTGAGGGCAATGCTACTATTAAAATTAAAAATGCAGAATAATACTTATTTAAAAAACACAAATCATAAACTGTACAGTTTTCCTAGATACATAATATTTTCCTAGATACATAATACTTAAAAGGCTGATATTCTTAAATATCTTGCTAATTAAAAAATAACTTATGTATAAGAAGAGCTTGCTATAAATTACAAAGGAAATTTGTATTTGTACATACATATTTGTACATAAATAGGACGACCATATGTCCCAGTTTGCCCAGAACAGTTCCAGTTTACACCTGTGTCCCATTTCCACACCTATGTCCTAATCATTATGAACAGTGACTCTTTTTATTCTCAAAAGTACTATGGCTTAGACAATCAAAGAAATAATAACCTCATTTGTAGATGAATACATAGTTCCCCCTGAAATCTGTTTAATGCCCCTTTAATTAATTTTTAGTAATGAATGAATCTACAGATTTGAAATAAGACTTCTAACCTCTCTCACTTTCTAAGAACTAAAAAAACGCCACAGTCAACAACTATACTGTGTATAGCTGTATAGCACGTATACTATGAAATGATCGTTCACCTTTTTAAAATCTCATATTGTTTCTCTCTTAGAATTTACTTTTCATGCACACGGCTGTAAACCTCTAAATGTGACTCTTCAGTGAAAACGTACACATCAAAATGTCTGCAGCGACTTTGAATTCAAATCTCCATGAAATGAAGCCTACACACTGACGTGAGTCACCGCAGGCAAAGGACTCTCAGAGACCCCCAGCCTGCGGCCCGAGTCCTCTTTCTCATGACCACTTTATAGCGCAAGCCTGGGAAAGCAAGTGCCCTGGAAGTCGCCCCAGAACAGTAGGGACTGACTAAAATCTGAGAGCCAGCCCTCTCTACTACTGCCACAACTCACCCCACCTCACACCACTGTACATTTGTACACTGACGAGCAAACCTCTCTGGTCAGTCGCCAGCACCCAGAGTCCAGCCCACACTGCTCTGCAGTCCTGATCTGAAACCACCTCCTCAGCGCTTCCTCCTCCCCCACCCAGCTCTTTCACCCCCAGGAATTCCTGCTCTGGTCATGATACCCTCTAGACCCTCGACCTCTTTGAACATTATCTCTTTTTGTGGTAATTAAACACGGAGTCCTCTGAAGACAAAGGACTTCCCCAGCAGCCCCCTTAGCTTAACGCTGTTTTTTTAATCTCACCTCAATGTGTGAGGGCCACGACTAGGGGAGGCACCTTTGTGCTCTCCAGTGGGGCTTCCAGACCATCACCACCCCTCATTCCGGAAGAAAACCTGCTGGTTCCTGTGAGGCTCATGCCTGGCTCTACCACCTTAACCTCACCCTTCTCTCTTCTCATTTACTGAACTCCCAGCAACCTCCCCTCACTCGCTGAGGACTGAATCCTGGCTCAGTCTTGCTCGAATGCCAACGATGGTCATCCTCAGTGAGAGCACGGTAAGTGACTTGTTTAATTCTCCTGCTTCTCAGGCACTTCATTTTCTAAAATCCAGAGATCACTTCTTCCAACCCATCTGAAGCACTCATTTTTAATGCCACAAATGGACTCTGTCATCACCAATTCATCACCTCTGAAATCTTTTATTCTGGACATCCATTACCTTCTTTTTCTTTTTCCTTCTGAATCTATTTTATTTTTTTATATAAAGTTGATTCTGGTTATTCTTTCCATTTATTACTTGGTTTCTACATTTTCTTTTAAAATTTTTTTCAAGAACAATTAACAAATAGCATGAGTAGCAGGTGTACAAGATAATGACTCAGACATCCACTGCCTTCTGTCCTTCTGACTCACTGCAACAACTCTTTAGCTTTATCATGACCCTCAAAAATTGGTAAATGTATAATGTCTTAGGTATATTTTTTTCATGCCCTCAGAGAAACAACACATCAAGGCTTCAAACACATGCAAGGTGTTTAAACCTATTTAGTAGAGAATACACTAGTCAAGTATCTCAAAATGCTGCTGACAAATGACCACCCCGATTTTAAGTCTGAATACAATCCAAAGTAGAGATACGGTCAAATGAAAATTATCCTTCAGACCTGAAAGCAGTTAGCAAGAAATACCCTCTATTTTTATTTCTCTTGCTAACACACACACTCACACACCCCTTAAAATAAACCACTTACAGACCTCTATGTAAAATCTTACCTGAAAAAGGTTAACATGTTTTTATATACTGGTTATAGCATCAACCTAACAGGTTTTCTTAGAACTAAATAAACTACTAGCAAAGAACAGTCTAGAAACAGCTGCAGCTGAAAGGACCCCCAAAGAGCATCAGTTACCTGAACCCTGGGATCCAGTCTTCTGAGGGCCGGCAGCAGTGACCTGAGCCTTGGTTAAGGCTTGCACTGGCTGAGCAACAATGGTTCCTCCACCTCCACTCACAATTGCTTTGGCAACTCCTTGTGTCACAACTTGCTTTGGACCAACTGCTTTGGCAACAGAAGAGCTGGCCTTGGCTACAAGGATTTGGCCACCACTGATTGCCACAGCCTGTTTCACTGTTGAAGGTAAAGACGACCCAACTGGCACCCCAACAACCTGTTGAAGACAGAGAAGAATACACCAGTGCTGCTTCTCAGTTCTTTCAAGGGCTCTTAGAACAGAACAGTCACTCTGTTGTAGCAAAGATCAAAGCAAAGCCCTAGGTATAACATATGGAGTCTAATTTAATCGTCTAGGAATGCCAAGGATAGATGTGAACAATGATATTTATTACATTTTAGATATTATTACAGTGGAAGGCTATAGTTTTTGTCTTAGCCCCAGCTACTATCTAGAACTTATTTTATATGTTTTTTTTTAAATAAAAAACTTAGAAAGTACAGAAATACAAAGATAAAAATTCTACTTATCCAGAAATAACCTCTTATTCTTTCACTTTATTTATTTAAGTAAACTCCATCCCCAAGGTGGGGTTTGAACTCATGACCCCAAGATCAGGAGTTGCATGCTCTACCCAACTGAGCTAAGCAAGCACCCCCAGAAATAACTTAATATTTTTAATATGTTTGCTTCCAATTTTTTAATGTACATTTTAAAACACAGATTAGGATTACATGTAGAGTTCTATAATTTAAAAAAAAAATTTTTTTTTAGATGTTATTTATTTATTTGACAGACAGAGATTACAAGTAGGCAGAGAGGCAGTCAGAGAGAGGAGGAAGCAGGCTCCCTGCTGAGCAGAGAGCCCGATGTGGGGCTCAATCCCAGGACTCTGGGATCATGACCTGAGCCGAAGGCAGAGGCTTTAACCCACTGAGCCACCCAGGCACCCCGAATTTTATAATTTTTAAATTTAACATCATATTACAAGCATTTTCCAATGTTACTATTTTTCAAAAATATTTTTAGATGGCCAAATATTTTAGAACAGATATACCATAATTTATGCAAACATTCACTACTGTGTGGATATCGAGGTAATTTTAAACTTCACATTAAGAAAAACTACAATAGGGGCGCCTGGGTGGCTTAGTGGGTTAAGCCTCTGTCTTCGGCTCAGGTCATGATCTCAGGGTCCTGGGATAGAGCCCGTGTAGGGTTCCCACTCAGCGGGGAGTTTGCTTCTCCCTCTCCCTTTACCCCTCTCTGTTTATGCATGTTCTCTCCCAAATAGATAAATAAAATCTTTTTTTTTTTTTTCAAAGATTTTATTTATTTATTTGACAGACAGAGATCACAAGTAGGCAGAGAGGCAGGCACAGAGAGGAGGAAGCAGGCTCCCTGCTGAACAGAGAGCCCGATGTGGGGCTCAATCCCAGGACTCTGGGATCATGACCTGAGCTGAAGGCAGAGGCTTAACCCACTGAGCCACCCAGGCGCCCCAGATAAATAAAATCTTAAAAAAAAAAAAAAAAAGAAAGAAAGAAAGAAAGAAAAACTGTGCAATAAACATTTCCATATATGAACTAGAAACTCCACTACTCACCATTCTTTTAAAGATCACCTCTTTCAGTAACCACTCCTGTCTTACCCCATCTGAAACGCCTATTTCTTCATCTCTGGAAGTTCTAATGATTCACGTCATTTGTTAAATAGTAAAACATGTGGCCCTTCTTCCAACGAATTTTTAAGAAAAATTATCTTTTTCTATATAATTCTAATTTTTCCTTTCCTTAAAGGTAAATATTTGGTTAAAAAAGAAGTCTAGGAGTGCCTGGGTGGCTCGGTCAGTTAAGTGGCCAATTCCTGATTTTGGATGAGGTCATGATCTCAGGGTCATGGGTGCAGGCCACGTGGGCTCTGTGCTTAGTTGGAAGTCTGCTTCTCTTCCTCTCCTTCTGCTCCTCCCCCACTAGGTGCACGTGCATGTGTGCTCTAAAATAATTCAATAAATCTTTTTAAAAAGGGGGGTAGGGGCACACCTGGGTGGCTCAGTCGATTAAGCGTCTGCCTTTAGTTTGGGTCATGGTTCCAGGGTCCTGGGATCCAGCCCCACATCAGGCTCCCTGCTCAGCGGGATGTCTGCTTCTCCCTCTGACCCTCTCGCGCTCTATTAAATACAATCTTTAAAAAGGAATCTTAAAAAAGACTCCAATACCCAAATTATGCAAGCTGGAAATATCTGGTTCTGAAGGTATTATAAAGAGATCCCTTTCAAATAAGAAAATACTATAGAACTCTTTTAAAAGTCAATAGTAGGATGTTAAATTAGAAGAAACAATTTAATTAATGGCAAACTGGGAGAGTGTTTCCCACTGCGCTCAGTTATTTCATAAAAAGAACTTCTCACCAGAAACTAGATGAAAAGACTTTTATAAGATTAAAAGAATACCAAAAGATCTACCTTCTAAAAGTGAAAATGATAAAGTATCAGTACTTTTCACCCATCAGAGTGGAGAAAAAAATTTAGAAGGCTGGTAACACCAAGAAATGGCTGGAGGGTATGGGGAAACAGGAACATTTGTTCACTGCTAAAGAAAAGTAATCTGGGGGCGCCTAGGTGGCTCATTGGGCTAAAGCCTCTGCTTTTGGCTCAGGTCATGACCCCAGGGTCCTGGCATCGAGCCCCACATCAGGTTCTCTGCTCAGCAGGGATCCTGCTTCATCCTCTCTCTCTCTGCCTACTTGTGATCTCTGTCTGTCAAATAAATAAATAAAATCTTTAAAAAAAAAAAAAAAGAAAAGTAATCTGTACAGCCACTCTAGAGAGGTACCACATATCTACTGACACTGAAAATTCACATATCCCATGTTGTAACAATTCCTTTTTTAGAAACATGTCCTAGAGAAACCCGAGACATGTGCTCAAGGGAACATGTCCAGAAGGCCCAAGGTAGCATTTTTATAATTACAGAAAATTGTCAGCAAACTTAATGCCTACAACATGGAACAACATGCTTAATGCCTACAGGTAGAGGAATGCATACACTGGTATAATACAGACAGTGGACTAGCACACATTAGTAAAAATGAATGAACTAGAACTACATATATTAGCATAGACAAACTCTGACAGTACAAATACTGAAAGGGGAGATGCAGAAAAATATGAGTATAAATATCTTTCATGTAAATCTTCAAAACACACAACATTACATGTTATTTACGGCTGTGGATTTATGCAATAAAAGTATGAATTGGAAAGCTACACATCCAAATTCATGATAGTGTTGCTTTTGGGAAGAACAAAGTAGACTTCAACTTTGTTGTGTTTTATTTGGGGGAAAATATGAGATGAAATAAATACAGACATGTTAATTTTGGGTGAAAGATATATGGGCATTGATTATATTATTCTCTGTATTTTACTTTATAGTATTTCTAAATTAAAAATAACAGGATTGGGGCACCTAGGTGGCTCAGTGGGTTAAGCCTCTGTCTTTGGCTCAGGTCATGATCTCAGGGTCCTGGGATCGAGCCCCACATCGGGCTCTCTGCTCAGTGGGGAACCTGCTTCCCCCTCTCTCTCTGCCTGCCTCTCTACCTACTTGTGACTTCTCTCTGTCAAATAAATAAATAAAATCTTAAAAAAAATAACAGGATTAGCAATGATAATAATTATAATACGATTACCTAAGAAATAGAACAAAATGACAAAACATATGCAACTGATGAATGCAACTTTCCAGTTAAATAACTACTAAATCATACATGGTTTCTTTGCAAAGATGTAAATACAGTAAAATACATTTGCGTGTACTTGGATGCTACAGTTGATGTAAAGAAAATGGTCTCCTAATCAACTGTTATAAATTACAGTGTAACAAAGAAGAAAGAGCGCAGGATTTTGTAAGCAGTCAGACTTGGTTTCCCAGTTTTGTTCCACTGGTTGGTAGCTGGATAAGTTATTTAATGTTTCTGAGCTTTAGCCTTAAACACCTCATGTATCAAATATGGATGATATTTATCTCAAAAGATATGATGTACACAGTAAACGACAGCTGCTGCAGCCCAAGACACTTGTTATTATTAACCAAACAACAGTAATCCATGAGGTTACGTAGAGATGCAAAGGATGGAGAGCACCAAATGGATCCACAGTTGGCTAGGGCAGTGGACCTTCATTCCTAGATTCATTTAGTCAAATAGAAATTAAAGTATGTAACATCCAGTATCTGCTTTAAAATATCCTAGGAAGAGAAGTAAGATTAGCAAAATGCTGATAATTACTGAAACCATGTAATGGGCATATAGGGTTCATTATAATAGCCTCTTACTTTTACGTAAGTTTAAGGAAGGAGAGAAAGAAAGAAAAAAAAAAGACTCAAAGAACCAATGGGGGTAAAAAGCAAGTTAACTTAGAGTGGAAAAGAAATCCTCCCACTCTCTGGCTTGGTTAAAACAATCCCTTAGGATGATCCAAATCTATTTTGACTGTATGAGCCTTACTCCGCAGGCAACATGGAGTGTTGCTGTGGCCAGAGTGGCAGAGAAACTCTTACTAATCAAGAACTTTGCCCTGCATCAGGCTCCCTCCTGGGTGTGGAGCCTACTGAAGATTCTCTCTCAGTCTCCCCCTCCCCACCCCTCTGCTCTCTCTCTCTCTGTCAAAACAAACACTTTTCTATGTACTTATGGAAAAAAGTTTCTTAATGTAGAAAAACATTTTTGGGTAATGACAGAAGGTGCCAGTTGAACCCTGATATCCATTTGTTTTCTCTCTCACAGTAAGAGAGCCCCCAGTTTTCAAATAGGGACATGGCCACATAGAACATTTCTCAGCCTAGTGCTGGTCATCTCATTTCTGGCTAGAAGGATAGGAAGAGAAGTGATGAGTGCAACTTTTGGGTTATGCCTCCTCACACCCCCTTTCTGTCTTCCTGCTGGCCAGAAATGTGAACACGGTGGCATGAAATGAAATAGCTATCGTAACCCATAAGCTAAGAACCAAATTTCGAGAATGGCAGAACAAAATGGAGTCTAGATTCTTGATGACTGTGAAGCCAACATACTAGAACAGCCTACTGGTCTTTTATGTGTGAGAAAAAGAAAAAAAAAAACTTATTTAAGTTTTATGGGCTTTGGATTTCTCTATTATAGTAGTCAAATTATTTTTTGAGATAAGAGTCTTCATGTTTTCTAAATATATTAAACTTAATAATTCATTATATAAGCTATATTATACAATTTATTTTCATGTTCCTAAGCCAACAAAGAAAGCAAAAAAAACTTAAAGGAAAATACATATGGATTGGACCTATTTTCTTTTCCAAAATTTCATGCATCTTAACTTGCTTTTTTCTACCTTGTACCAAGCTCTACCCTCACTCACCTGCTTCAAAATTTCCAGAATATGACATATTTAATCTCTCCACAAGCTAAGTAAAATGTAGTATCCCAAACTGGCCACAGGAGGGCAGTTTTCATTAGCAGAGCTTATCCAGCACAGCGTACCACTCACAAGACTAACCCCACCTCCTGTCTGAAAAAAGGGAGGAGGAAGTCTGGCATCTACTGGGGAAAACCCTACGCACAGCTGTCTATGGACAGCATAAGGAAGACTTTTAAGTAGGACACTACAACCCCAAATTAGTTTTTCTTTTCTTAACAAGACAATATTTTAGCCTAGAACCTGAACTCTTCCCACTCCACATCACCTCTCTCTGCATTCCTAATTTTCTTCTAGTTTCACAAAACAGACACCCTCTGTTCTCTATTGTTTTAAATACTTCCCTTTGACTCACGCTTTGATTCAGTGTTTTTGTTTGTGCCCTGTCCAGACTTTTGCAAGTCAAAATTTACTTTAACAAACAGAAAAGGAGGATTATATGTGTGTAATTTTTCCTCCAGACACTGAAAAATTTAGCCAATTACAATTTAGTACTCAATGAAAATGATCATGGTACTGCTGCATATTTACACAGGACTTGTCCTTAGTCACATTTAGCTCTATCACTTAGTGAGTGGCTCTGTGATAAGTCCTTCCCATACAATGATTTTTTTTAAAAAAGATTTTATTTATTCATTTAGCAGAGAGAGAGAGAGAATGCACAGACACAAGTAGGGGGAGGGGCAGAGGGAGAAGCAGACTTCCTGCTGGGCAGGGAGCCTGATGCAGGACCATGCAGGATGCAGGACTCTTATCTCCGGAGACTGGGATCCCGACTGAGCCACCCAGGCGCCCCATACACAATGATTACTAATCCTACTGGTCTGAAAGACACAGGGTATTATTCCCTTTTACTAGATGGAAAAACACAAGGCTCAGAAGTACAAACCCGCCCAGGTCGCACAAGTAATGAGTAGCTGAGATCTGTAACAAGCTCTCATTCCAAAGTCTGCACTCTTTTTACTATGCCACACTGCTTCCTTCTCACATGAACCCACTAAATGCTCAGATGTCCCGTTTCATGGCAAAAGCAGCACCCCTCTTTACTTTCAGGAAAAAGGTAAGCCAAAGTTGAATGGAAGGTAAAACAGTATCGTTTTGTTCACCCTTCTATTTTCTGGCATAGTTTCTAGGAATGCACTTCGGCAATAACCAGGGACAGTCTGTACTTGCAGACAGCTCCTTATCTGGACTCCAAAGTTTGTACTAAATTTCCTGGATAAACAGGGTATGTCTTTTCTCATGCTCTTCTGCTTCTGTACATTTCTTTCACCCTCTTCTGTGGCTTTTCTTTTCAGGCGCCCTTAAACTTTATTCAGAGCATTTCAGCACAAAATTATCCACTTTTTCTTAGTCTAATAACTCCATGAGGTAGGTGGCAATATGACAAGAAAGCCAATACAGTTGCTCAGCATTACAGAGGGGTGGATTTGCAAAATGCAAAGTGTAAAACAGTGAAACTAACTTATCCAGAGCTTCTGGGCATAAACAGCAACGCTATTTTGGCTCAAAAACATAAATGAGGGGCGCCTGGATGGCTCAGTGGGTTAAGCCTCCTCTGCCTTGGGCTCAGGTCATGATCCCAGGGTCCTGGGATAGAGCCCCGCATCGGGCTCTCTGCTCAGCCGGGGAGCCTGCTCTCCTCCCCCCTTCTGCCTGCCTCTCTGCATACTTGTGATCTCTGTCTGTCAAATAAATAAACAAAATCTTTAAAAAAAAAAAAAACCCTAAATGAGTGAGTCCATGTATCTTTGGTGAAGCAAAACAGATTCTGAAGAATCACAATGTGTCTGAGTAGGAAGTCTAGATAACAGTAACTGATTCAGGAAAAGATTTGACAATGGCTTATTCCTAAGGCCAAAACAATAGTGAGTGCATTAGGAAGCAGCTGGGGTACCTGTTCTAGTGATTTGGGCTAGGGAAGCCCCAAAGTCAAATTTGATGATATAGCTTAGTGGTTCTTAAATTTGCCAAATCATCCAAGTGAGCAAGAGAGCTTGATAAAAATCCAGATTCCCAAGGCCCCCAAGAAGATTCTGATTCAGAAAGTATGAGACAGGGTCTTAGTATCTATGTATTTTTAATCATCAGATGAGTCATGACCAGGTTAAGTTTGGGAAAGTGGTTAGTGGATTCTTACAGATTTTAGAACCATTCAGACTTTAGAACTGTAACATATGCATTTTTATTACAATCTATGTGCAGCTATCTAGCCTAAACCAAAATACCTAAAACCATTTTTCTATTTTATAGTATTCCTCTGGGGGCGGGGGGCACCTGGGTGGCTCAGTGGGTTAAGCCTCTGCCTTCCGCTCGGGTCATGATCCCAGGGTCCTGGGATCAAGCCCTGCATCAGGCTCCCTGCTCAGAGGGGAGCCTGCTTCCTCCTCTCTCTCTCTGCCTGCCCCTCTGCCTACTTGTGCTCTCTCTCTCTCCCCCTGATAAATAAATAAATAAATAAATAAATAAATAAAATCTTTAAAAAATAAAATAAATAAATAAAGTACTCTTCTCTAAGCAATTCATCTATCCCTAGACAGGCTGTCTTTCAAGTTGAAAAACAAATATTTTTCATAATATTCTTGATAGCTTTAGAATATATCTGCCTCCTAAAATGAGATAATTTAACTCTATATGTTCTAAAAGCATGCTTAGGTTCCAGAAAATGGCTCACAAATTTTAATTAGCTCTACAATGGGAGACTTTGGAGTCAGAAGACCTGGGTTCAAATCCTGTGTCACTTATTAGCTAAAGTGCTCTCAAGAAGTTGCCTGACCCCCTCACAGGACAGTTTCCTCATTTGTAAAATGGGGTTGAGCGTATCATGAGGATTAGATAGCATGTAAATGAGAACAGGACACAGACAGGCACTCATAAGCACAACCAATGCAGGAAAACATGGGCCTATATGCCATTTTACAGTTGTCTTGATATATTAGTTCCCCCCACTTTCAAATTATAAAGCAAATAAATTCTCTGAAGAGTCAAGAATCAGTAAACAGAGGCCACAGCCTGAACATCAGAGGTAAAAACTACAGCACTCACCTACCAGAAACAAGTAGAACAGCTGACCCTGGTCCTGTCAGCTACCCATTTTACACCTGCATCAACTGGAAATTGTGTCCATGAAGTCTACCATCTTCACTGCCAGAGAGATAACATAGCATCCCTATGCCTCTTTGACTATTCATGGGCCCTCCATAACACAGCTCCTGCTCTTGTCAATGCTTACTGCAAGAGCAGACAGGTTTGACACTGACTAACTTGCTTTTCCAACACAGCTTCCATCTACAGGATTTTCTGGGATCAGCAACCCTGTCATCTGAATTCTGTCAGCACCTGCCTGTTACTCAGGCAAATAACATTCACTGACATTATTATTAACCTCCCCAACCCTACCCAACACAGACCTTGGAGGGCTGAATCTTTGGTGACTGGGAAGTCCCTTCTCCAGCAGTTAGGACCTGTTTTTGAGGGGACACAGCAATCATGTGACCCCCTTTCACTGTCACATACTGAGGGAGTGGTGACTGGCTGGCAGCTCCTGTTGCAGGCACGTGAGAGGCTTCACCAGGTTCCTGTTTGATGATTACCTGGCAACAAACATGATAATGACGCTGAATAACCATCCCATAAGAAAAGCCACTAGTATCTGAAGCTATTCTGCTTGCAGGAATTAATGAATTAATGAAGCCTGGTCTATTAAAAAAAAATGACTCCACCATAAGGGTAGAAATACTGCTTAAATACAGCCCATAATAGCTATCAAAGGGACCAAAAGTAGGATTTGATCCTGTGCTTCTGCAAACTTGACCTAGTCCATTTGTTCTAGATTTTGATGGCAAATGGCAGCAGAAAGAAACACACACACAGTTTGTACTCTCAGGAGTTACCACCTTGCTGGATACCAAGAGCTGCCCTGTGGGCACAACTGAATACATGGCAGCATGTTGCATAAGTCTTAGAATCTGGTCTTAGGGAGTGCCTGGGTGGCTCAGTCAGTTAAGCACCTGCCTTCAGCTCAGGTCATGATCCCAGGGTCCCAGGATCAAGCCCCGAATCAGGCTCCCTGCTCAGTGGGAAGCCTGCCTGCTCCCTCTCCCACTCCCCATGCGTGAGTTCCCTCTCTCACTGTTTCTCTCTCTGTCAAATAAATAAAATCTTTAAAAAAAAAAAAGAAAAAAGAATCTGGTCTTAGAATTAGGACATACTAAAGCGTTACATGTTGTAGAGTAGTGTCAACTCCAACATGCCACAAAAACAATTATGTAACAAAACCATACTGACTTGTGGGATAATGCCCTAATAAATACTCACTTTTGTGAAAGCTCCAAGTCCTCCAGTTAGAGGTTTAGGACTCTGAACCTTAGGGTGACTCCCAATAGGGCAAAGAGGTGGCATAGATGCAAACAAAGAATCCTCCTGCTGTGTATGTAAAAATACACATTGTATAATTAGGATAAAATAACTGACTTCAAATATTCTAGATCCTTTTATTTAATATAAACCTGTGACACTCTCCAGAAAAACAAAACAAAACAAAACCCCAAAAGCTCAAAACTCTTTGTGGAGTTTTCCAAGCCCCGACCCTTGCATTTAATTATTGTTTTTAGAAACCAAATGCAAAGAAAGGCTATAACCTGACAAGAACCTCCTCATCTGGGCCCTGGTATATGCTGGAAAAACTACGATAAACCTCTAGCATTTGCCTGATTCATTGGTTTGCATGTCCAGTCCCCTGCCTGATGGTAAGCCGCTAAAGGCTTATTTTATTTCTTTTCTACCCCGAGAGCATAGGCACTAAATAAATAAAGAGGTACAGTGTTTCAGTATATACACCCTTTCAGTAATATTCACACAACTTGATTTGTTGTCTTTACTCCAAATAAATACCCAACACAGAGGGAATTTTTCAATAGGGATTTAAAAAACAAAACAACAGAAAGAACTTAAACAATGAAGGCAAAACCAACAAAACAAAGGTAAACACTCAAAATTACTGATATTTGTCTCTAGTTCTCAAATACAAAATGTAAATCTCAGAGGCAATTAACCATAAATTAGGGACAAGCAACAAAGTTAATACTGCTTAACCATGTAATGAAAAGATCAACAAACATTAAAAACTGACTGGCAGAGAATGAAGACCTTCAAGGCAATTATTACAATTTAGGCATTCATGTAACACAGTGCTCACAGGCAGCATTGCGCCCGGGAGAAAAACCTCACCTTAGAACAGAAAACTATTCAATATCATCACTGTTAAGTACCTATATGTAAGAATGTGTTAACACTTGTCATGGAGGAGATGACCTCTGAATTCTCAGTTTTCACACACCAGTTTATACCTCAAAGGCTCTAGGGAGCCATGACAATGACAAGTAACTAACTAACCAAAATAGCAGGGGCTGTCTCTGCCAAACAGTGAGCAGATACCTAGCACTCTTAGCTGAACAAGTCAGATCATATTTGAAGTTCTAATTTTACAGGTTTCTTTACCCTGAAGGGGGTGGGGGGAAGAAAGAAAGAAAAAGAAGAAAGAAATAATTATTTTCAAGTAACTACATGGCTGACAAATAGAAAAAAATATGTATTTACTCCTTATTGGCACAAATATAGGAAGAAAAGAAGAATGCTGCTCAATGAATATTTTTATAAGGAAAAGTCTTTAACAAAGCTGACCTCCCCCCACTCCTATAAATAGCTGCGTCGTCATCATAGTAAGTTTTCAAATAGATACCGACTATCCAACTGATGAAGTGTTGAGAAACATTTTCCATACTAGGAAAAAATCAACAGTAAGATAGGGGAGTCTGGAGTAGATGATCTTCAAGATGCTTATTAGCTTTAAGATTCTACTTAATGAAATGTGCATTATCAACTGACAAATTCTTGCTGGGCTTGAACTTACTGTCTTTACAAACTAGAAAAGTGCAATAATGCAATAAGAGTGTTACCTTGACAGTAGATGTTACAAAACTACTTCCATGAATTTTAGGAATAGGGGAACCTGTTCCTTGGGAGGCCTGGGAGGCAGTAGAGAGCTTGTTTGTAGGACTTCCTGATAAGCAAAGCAGATTTTAAAATAAAGTATAAAGTAAAATTTACAAAATGGAATTTAAAAGCATTTTCCACCACCTTACCCCTATACCCCACTATTTTTCATTTTTAAGTGTTGAAAACTCACAACCCTGAAATTATTGAAAACATACTTAAGGATTCCTCCTATGAAGCTGACCACCTCACTAACCTAAAAACAGACAAGAAGCTAGTAAGGACATGCAGAAGAATAAGTACACAGACATTACACACTACCTGTACACAGAGACAGACACCAGAACATAAGGGTATTGGTTACATAATGATGTACCACATGAATGAATCTAACTGAATGCTAGCTCCTTCAAAATATTCTCACCAGGAGGTTGTACCTATTCCAAAGTGCTAGTGACATAAAAGCAAGTCCCACTACCTGTAGTAAAAAATAAGTCAAGACCAAAAATGGTATTTGATCACCTGCTCCATTTATCAAACGTCCCTGCAAAGACTGGCTAATTCCTATAACTAACCATCCTCAAAGGATACCAATTTGACATCCCTGAATTTATTCAAAAGGCTATTAAGTAATTTCTGAAAGCAGCTTTTTTAAAAAGGAGTTCCACAATTATAATCACTGTTAAAGGACCTAACTTTTCAAAAAAAAACTACTTAGAAAGATCCAGCATATATTCATGCGCTAAGATCAATTATATTAAAAAAAAAAAAATCAGTCTTATGACCTTATAGTCACTTCTCTTTTCTCTCACTATTTCTCTTAATTAAAAGTGAGAGCTATAGAAAAGTTTACATTTAGAAGCATGTGTTCAAATAGTTTAAATGAAACAAATACATAAAATGTTAGTGCAAATACTTGGAAAAAACTTGAAAAGCACTCTGTAGCTATAGGAAATTATGGTGACACATACAATAAATCCAGTTCTTATTCTTTCTATCAGAGGTCCCTTTTTTAAACTGCAGAGTTCAATTTCTCTCCCACACACACAATTTATCTTATTCACAGAAAAGTAAAGACCACTTTTTAGTTTGACTGGTGAGAAACATATGTGGGCCACAAAGGTATTCTTTTTCTGAAGCTTATTTTGGAAAATAACCACATTTGCTTGCAGGCCCAAAAAGAATGTCTTCTAAACGAAAACAAAATCAACTTTTTTTTTTTTAAGGAACATTAATTCTAGTTCTCTTTTAATCTTTAGAAATTAAAAACAAAATTTAAGTAAATTCCTAAAAAATAGAACTTTTACATATAGTACATCTTCTCGCAGAGAAACAGCACTGGCTTTACTACTCTAGAGTTCCTTCTCTTGTTTACAAACAAATACTTCATTCTCCCATTAGATGGCTACTAAGTCACGCTAGGATTTCGACTTTACGAAAGATCAAACCTTTCAGATCGCACAAATATCGATGAAATGCCTACCTGTAGTGGGAGTGGTGGCTCCAATAACCTGCCCCGGCTTATCCAGGATAACATAAGGGTTATTAATGACAGAGCTGGCAGCGCCTTGCTTCACATGGACTGGAGTGGAAGTCGGGGTTCGAGGCAGCGGTGATGGACTTGGAGTTGATATGGGGGAACCTTTATTAATAAAAAAGAGAAATGAAATAAACTAAAGACATATACTCAACCCATCTAAGAAAACACTGAAGACAATGGAGGACAAAGGTGACAAATGGGGAAAAGAGAATGGGACTCTATGTTTCAGGTACTGAGCAACAGCAGCGGCGTAGCTGAGGCAGGGACTCATCCCTCCACCAGCATCAGCAGGCAGCTTCTGAGAAACAGATTCTGAGGTGCTCCCCCAGACCTACTAAATATAAATCTGTACTTTCCAAGATTCCCCCACACACATACCCATCCCATGGGCACATTAAAGTTAAAAAAGCAGAGCTTTACATAATAGCGTGGAACTGCTGAATCCCTAGATAACCCAACTCTTCACAACTTGGGCCAATTGTTATAATAATGGTTATACTGCAAGACACTAAAATTATAGGAAATTAGTAAGTGAACAGCTAGACTTACAAACCAGGAGTCTTGATTTACAACTAATTTCCTACTTGAAAACATGGAATTCACCCACCCTAAACAGAAGTCTGTCAATACCAAGTCAGCTACAATCCAGAGATTCCTGTTCCCACAGAACACTCACAAAGATTACCCATGTACCATTCAACATCCTCAATGGTTTTTTTGTCAATCAAATCTGTCATCCATGAATTTCTCTAAACTTGTAACCAATTTGTATGCTCAGCCTATTCCGCCTCTGAAACAGCAAGTTCCAAAATGCTTCTAACTGGGAGGTAAATTTACACGTTCCTCACCTTTCATCAATTTCAAAGACTGGGATCATATTTCTGCTTAGTTGTGTATTTTTAGCGCTGAAGACTCCTTTTCTCCACCTTCATACATACAGGCCTCCCGCTGCCTAGGTATTTCTACTGACTTTCTTGCAAGTCTTTTCTGAAGTGATGTAACCTACACCATAAAGTGTATTCCTACCTGAAGTCTACCTAACATAAATGTGAAACCGTCATGAGACAGTAGATAATTCAATCTCAGTGAAAATGAAGGCTCAGAATTACCTACTGATAATGCGAATGACTATTTTTCTATCTACTGTGCAGAGTATAAAAGACATTTCAATTCCAAACCAAGTCCCACCTTTCAAACTTTAACTCCACTCCAAAAGGCCTGCTCTAAGTTTTTTTTTAATTACTAGTCACTCTGGTTTCCATAGATAATTCAAAAACTTAATTCCTACCATAGTTTCAACCATACATCCTAGTAAACATTTTACCTCCACCACTTTTTGAACATGAAAAGTTGACCTTTTTGAATTTCATTTCTTATTCAAAAACTGTTTGCATATGAAATGACTTTTGTTTTCCCTTTGTTGACAGCTTTGCTAATCAATAGTCATTACTTATCAAATAAACAAACACCTCACTTGAGAGAATTTTTAAAAAGCCACAATGCTATTACAACAATTTTTATACCCATCAACTTGACATACATCATCTGTATACCTGAAACAATCTTGCAGCTCATGGTGATGGGTTGGAAGGATTTTCCGGGTGACTCAGGATTAGGAGCCTGACTTTGTGGCACAATTTTGCAGCTTGATGCTATTGGCTGAAAAGCTGAATTGCCATGAGAACAAAAAGTAACTTTCTGGGATGTCGTCATTTTGGTGGGTGTTCGTTCCAATGAAGATGGCAAAGAATAAAAAGTAGTGTGTCTCTCAGCTTCGGTACTGGTTGGGAAGCCTATTTGAAATGAAACAGGCAAATGTAAGTCATGAATCACTTAGACATAATAAAACCTTTCCACTGTGGTTAAAGAATGAAACAATAAAAATCCCTTCTCATTTCAACAACCATTTAAACCACTTCCCAGCAAAATACATACAATTAACAGTATTTATAAACCCTTCTATACACATAATTAGATGAAATGTAAATTATCAGTTTAGAATCATTTTATTAAAATGTTTCTTTCAAAAAATTAGAAAACATATTAACTATAAAGCACATACAATATAAAAAGTATACAAGTGTATTATGTTCTGAATTAGAAAGCTATTTAAATTGAAAAGAATAACTTGAAGCATTCACTTAATCTAATAATGTTCTATTTTATTAAATGCCCATGAAGATGCAACTGAAATTTAAAGAGGAATAAAACTGAAATTTGTAAAAGGACTAAAATATTAACATCACATTAAAATGTAGGCTTAGGGGGCACCTGGTGACTCAATTACTTAAGTGTCCGATTGCTGATTTCGGCTCAGGTCATGACCTCAGAGTTGTGAGACTGAGCCCCACACTGGGCTCTATCTACACTGAATGTGGAGCCTGCTTAAGATTCTCTCTCTCTTCCCCTCTGCCTGTCCCTCCTCTCTCTCTCATAAAATAAATAAACAAATATAAATAAAAATGTAGGTTTGGAGATTAAACTGACACCATTTAGAACCAGTTTTATACCTTACACGTATAGGTCAGAGAAATTATTAAATCATACACTTAAATCCTTACTAAATGAAAAAATGCCATAGTCAAAATACCTTTGATTAACCTTAAATTATTTTAATTAAATTAATCTTTAAATTAATTTTGAGGGGGGAGGGGCAGGAGAGGGAGAGAGAGAAGCTTACGCAGACTCAATCCTAGGACTCTTAAGATCATGACCGGAATGGAACTCAAGAGCAGGATGCTTAACTGACTGAGACCCCCAGGCACCCTGACAATGAATCTTATACTAGTTTTTTGGTTTTGCTGTTTTTCTTTCTTTCTTCCTTTCTTTTTTCAAAGTAGGCTGAACTGAGCGAGGAGCCTAACGAAGAATTCAATCCCAGGACCCTGAGATCAAGACCTGAGCAGAGATCAAAAGTGGGATGCTTAACGGACTGAGCCACCCAAGCACCTCTTATATTGCATTCTTAATTCCAATACAGTTAACGTACAGTATTATGTAAGTTCAGGTATATAATATAGTGATTCAGCAACTGTATACATTATTCAATGCTCATCACAAGTGTATTCATAATCTCCTTCACCTATTTCACCCACTCCCTCGCCCACCTCTGCTTTGCTAACCATCAGTTTATTCTCTATAGTTAAGAGTCTGTTTTTGGTTTTTTTTTCTTTTTCTTTTTTTTTTGGTGTCTTTTTTTTGTTAGTTTTGTAAACTCCACATATGAGTAAAATCATATGGTATTTGTCTTTCTGATTTATTTCACTTAGAATTATACTCTCTAGATCAATCCATGCCACTGCAAATGGCAAGATTCATTCTTTTTATGGCTGAGTAATATTCCAGTTTACAAAGGTACCACCTCTTTTCTATCCATTCATCTGTCACTTGGACTGCTTCCATAATCTGGCTGTTGTAAATAATGCTGCAATAAACATAGGGGTGAGTGTATCTTTTCGAATTCATGTTTTTTGTATTCCTTGGGTAAATACCCAGTAGTGGAATGACTGTATCATATATATAATACTTATGTTTTTCATTTTTTGAGGCATCTGTGTTCCACAGTGGCTGCACCACTTTGCATTCCCACCCACAGTCCACGAGGGTTCCCTTTTCTCCACATCCTCACCAGCACTTGCTCTTTCTTGTGTTTCTGATTCTAGCCATTCTGACAGGTGTGAGGTGATCTCTCATTGTGGTTTTGATTTGCATTTCCCTGATAATGGGTGATGCTGAATAACTTTTCATGTGTCTGTTGCCATCTGTGTGTCCTCTTTGGAGAAATGTCTGTTCATGTCTTCTGCCTATTTTTTTTTTTTTTAAGATTTTGTTTATTTATTTGACAGACAGAGATCACAAGTAGGCAGAGAGGCAGGCAGAGAGAGGCAGGAAGCAGGCTCCCCACTGAGCAGAGAGCCCGATTTGGGGTTCGATCCCAGGACCCCAAGATCATGACCTGAGCAAAGGCAGAGGCTTTAACCCACTGAGCCACCCAGGCGCCCCTTCCGCTTATTTTTTAACTGGATTATTTGGTTTTTTGGTGTTGAGTTGTAGAAGTTCTTTGTGTATTTTGGACATGTCATTTGCAAATATTTTCCCCTATTCAGTAGGCTGTCTCTTAGTTTCATTTATTTTGCTGTGCAGAAGCTTTTTATTTTGATGTAAGCCCAAGAGTTTATTTTTGTTTTTGTTTCCTTTGCCTTGGGAGACATATCTAGAGAAGTGTTGCTACTGTCGATGTCACAGAAATTATTGCCTGGAATCTCTTCTAGGATTTTTATGGTTCAGATTTCACATTTAGATCCTTAACTCGTGAGTTTATTTTTGTGTATGGTGTTAAGAAAGTGGCCCAGTTTCATACTTTTGCATGTTGCTGTTCTGTTTCCACAACACCATTTGTTGAACAGATGGTCTTTTTCCCATTGTATATTCTTGCCTCCCCTGTCAAAGATTAATTGACCATATAAGCATGGGTTTCTTTTGGGGTTTTCTATTCTGTTCCATTGATCTATGTGTCTTTTTTTGTACCAGTACCATACTATTTCGATTACTCCAGCTTTGTAGTATATCTTGAAATCTGGGATTGTGATACTTTCAGTTTTATTCTTTTTTTAAGACTGGTTATTTAGGATTTTTTTTTTTTTTTTTTTTTTTTAAGATTTATCTTATTTATGGATGCCTGGATGGCTCAGTCGGTTAAGTGTCTGACTCTTGATTTTGGCTCAGGTCATGATCTCAGCATTATGGGATTGAGCTCCACATCGGGCTCTGTGCTCAGCAAGGAGTCTGCTTGAGATTCTCTCTTTCCCTCTGCCTTTCTCCCCCAACTAGCATTCATACATGCTCTCTCTAAAATAAACAGATAGATAGATAGATAAAGTCGTCTTAAAAAAAAAAAGATTTATCTTATTTATTTTAGAGAGACGGAGAATAGGAGGGACAGAAAGAGAGGAAGAAAGAATCCCAAGGAGACTGCTGAGCATAGTGCCCAATGCAGGGTTTGATCCCACAACTCTGAGACTATGACCTGACCTGAAACCAAGAACTGGATGCTAAAACGACTGTACCACCTGGTGCCCCTTAAGGTCTTCTGTAATTCCATACAAATTTTAAGATCATTTGTTCTAGTCTGTGAAAAATGCTGTTGTTATTTTGGTATGGACTGCATTAAATCTATAGATTGCTTCGAGCAGCCTAGACACGTTAACAATATTTGTTCTTCCAACCCATGAGTATGGAATATCTTTCCATTTGTTTGTCTCACCTTCAATTTCTTTCACAAGTGTTTTATAGTTTTCAGAGTATAAGTCTTTCACTTCCTTCATTAAGTTTATTCCTAAGTATTTTATTCTTTTTGGTGCAACTGTAAATGCAATTATTTAATTTCTCTTTCTGCTGCTTCATTATTAGTGTATAGAAATGCAACAGATTTCTATACATTGATTCTGTATCCTGTGACCTTACTAAATTCATTTATCAATACTACTAGTTTTTTGGTGGAGTCTTCAGAATTTTCTATATATAGTATCGTGACAGTTTTACTTCTTCCTTACCAATCTGGATGCTTTTCATTTCTTTTTCTTGTCTAATTGTTAAGGTTGGGCCTTCCAGTACTACGTTGATAAAGTGGTAAGAGTGGATATCCTTGTCTTGTTCTTGACCTTAGGGAAACTGACTATGATGTTAGCTGTGAGTTTTTCATATATTATAGCCTTTATCATGTCAAGGTACATTCCTTTAAACCTACTTTGTTGAAGGTTTTTATCAGGAATGGTGTACTTTGTCAAATGCTTTTTCTGTATCTATTGAAATGATCATATGGCTTTTATACATTCTGTTATTGATGTGACCTATCACGCGGATTGATTTTTGAATACTGAACCATCCTTGCATCCCAGAAATAAATCCCATTTGATCATGGTGAGTGATTTTTTTAAATTTATTGTTGGATTCAGTTAGCTACTATTTTGTTGAGATTTCTGCATCTACATTCATCAGAGATATTGCCGATAGTTCTCTTTTTTTTGGGTAGTATCTTTATCTGGTTTCAATATCAGGGTAACACTAGCCTCACAGAATGAATTAGGAAGCTTTTGTTCCTCTTCTATTTTTTTAGAATAATCTGAGAAGAAGAGGTATAAACTCTCCTTTAAATGTTTGGTAGAATTCCACCTGTGAAGCCATCTGGTCCTGGGCTTTTGTTTGTTGGGAGGTTTTCTTGTTTTGGGGTTTATTTATTTATTCTAGAGAGAGAAAAAGAGAGAGAGAGATTGCGAGTATGCATGCATGCAAGCAGGGGATGGGGGAGAGGGAGAGAGAATCTCAAGCAGACTCCCTGCCGAGCGCAGTGCCCTATGTGGGGCTTGATCCAACAATCCTGAAATCACAACTTAAGCTGAAACCAAGAGTCGGGTGCTCAACCAACTGAGCCACCCAAGCGCCCCAGGAGTTTTGTGTACTGATTCAATTTCATTGCTGGTAATTGGTCTGTTCAAATTTCTATTTCTTCCTGATTCAGTTTTGGAAGGGTATATGTTTTTAGGAATTTATCCATCTTGTCTAGGTTGCCCAATTTGTTGGTATATAATTTTTCATAGTAGTCTTATAGTCCTTTGTATTTCTGCGGTGTCAGCTGTTATTCTGTATTTTAAATAAGATTAGATACTTTACATTCAATTTCTTGTTCACACAACTAGGTACCAAAACCAAAAAGTCTTCCTGTAACATATCAGAAGAAACTGTTACAATCATCAAAAAAATAAACATTTAATGCCTTTTGTGAGTTTAATATTCTATAAAATACCAGTAGAACTTCATGAAAAAATTTTTTCTGATAAGAATAAAGATTTGTCTATTTTCATAATTGGACTTATAGTAGAGGCAGCATGCATACTTATGGAAAATTTATTTTCCATACACTCTTACAGCTCTACAGGCAGCAGTTCAAAATCACATTATGCAAATGAGAGAAAGGAATGCCCCAGAGAGCGACTCCTCTGTACAAGGAAAAATTCATTTCTATACAAGGAAAAATATATTACCTTTCTCCACACATGTATCAGGTACTGGCTCATGTGACTGCTTTATCGGTGAGGAAGCTTTCACTGGGGCTGGAATGGTCAAAGGCAAAGATGGTGGGGCATCAGAGATGTCCGACTCGGAGGACTGAGGATAAATGGAGTCTTCTCCAAGAGAGTGTCGGTGGAGCTCAACATCCACTACCTATACAATCAGGCAACAATGGGGCTCATGAATCCATCAACAATGTCACAGAAACCCCCAAACCTGTCCAAGAATGTGATACTCTAAGAGATGTGACAAATGATTTCTAATTAAACTGCAAAGGCAATTTCAATCTAAGAACTAAAGGATTTAGGGGCGCCTGGGTGGCTCAGTGGGTTGGGCCTCTGCCTTCGGCTCGGGTTGTGATCTCGGGGTCCTGGGATCGAGCCCCGCATCGGGCTCTCTGCTCAGCGGGGAGCCTGCTTCCCCCTCTCTCTCTGCCTGCCTCCCTGCCTACTTGTGGTCTCTCTCTCTCTCTCAAATAAATAAATAAAAATTAAAAAAAAAAAGAACTTAAGGATTTATCCCAGAATGTAATCTAGTTTGGTTTAACAGATAGATAACTCAGTGAAACCAATCATGTAATCAGGACCTTTCCATTTGCTGTTTCTATGCCTTCGAACACTATATTCCACCCCCTCCCAATCTCTGCATAACTGTCTCTTTCTCATCATTAGGTCTCAATCAATGTCACCTTCTCAGAGATTTCTTCTCTAACCAACCTAGCTAAAGCAAACCCCTTGTCCCCCAGCTACTCTCTTCTTTATAGCATGTATTTTAAGTGAAATTATCTCATTTGCTTTTGTTTACTATATACCTTCTCCCCATTTTCAACACAACCAAGAAGATAACTCCTTAAAAGCAGTAACTATCTTATTTATCTCTGTATCCCCAATACCAGGACCAGTGTCTAGTATATGGTATATGCTCAATAAATGTCTTTTGATACAACATAGCACACTTCTCTAAACAGAATAAGGTTTAACTAGCTAATTCTCACTACAATGGCTACTGCTGATTTATCATGAATACAAAAGAAAAAAGGTGGGAGGAGTATGGGGAAGGAAAACAAAGTTGGAGGTCCCATTTCCTGACTTCAAAATTGATGATTACAAAACTATAGTAATCCAAATAGTGTGGTACTGGCATCAAGAAGACATACAGACCACTGGAATAAAATCCCCCCTCATGTATATGGTCAAATTATTTTTGACAAGGTTGCCAAGACCCCAGGGAAAGGCAGTCTTTTCAACAAATGGTGCTGGAAAACTGGGTATCCACATGCATTAGAAAGAAGGTGGATCTTTACCCTCACACCATTTATAAAAATTAACTCAGAATGGATCAAAGACCCAAACATAAGACCTAAAAACAATAAAACTCTTAGAAGGAAATATAGGGCAAAGCTTCATGACAGTGAATTTGGCAATGATTTCTTGGATATGACACTAAAAGCATAGGCAGCCAGAGGAAAAATTGGTAAGTGGACTACATAAAAATTAAAAACTTGTGTGTATCAAAGGACATTATCAGCAGAGTGAAAAGGCAATCCACAAATGATCTGAAAAGAGATGATATCAAGAATGTAAAGAGAACTCCTAAAACTCAACAACAAAAACCCAAACACATGATTCACAATGGGCAAAGGATCTGTCTGACCAGACATTTCTCCAAAGAAGATTCACAAACACCCAATAAACACATGAAAGATACTCAACATCAATAATTATTAGAGAAATGCAAACCAAAACCACAACGAAATACCACCTTACCCTCATCAGTTTGGCTACTATCAAAAAAAAAAAAAAAGAAAACAATAAGAGTTGACAAAGATGTGGAGAACTGGAACTCTTGTGCACTGTTTGTAGGAATGTAAAATGGTGCAACTGCTGTGGAAATAGTGTGGCAGTCCCTCAGAAATTAAAATTAGAGCTACCATGGGGCACCTGGCTGGCTTAGGTGGTAGAGCGTGTAACTCTTGATTTTGGGGTTGTAGGTTCAAGCCCCAAGCTTGAACTTTTTTCTACTTAAAAGAAAAAAAAAAAAAAAGAGGTACTATTATGATCCAGCAATTCCACTTTCTTGTGTATATACCCCAAAGAACTGAAAACACAGACTCAAACAGATACCTATACATCCATGTTCTTGCAGGATTATTCACAATAGCCAAAAGATGTAAACAACTCAAGTCCTCATTAACAGATAAATAAGCAAAATATGGCACATATACACAATGGACTATTATTCAGCCTTTTTTTTAGGAAGTTCTGATGTATGCTACAACATGGATGAACCTTAAGAACATTATGTTAAGTAAAATAAACCAATCATAAGAAAAAAAAAATACTGTATAATTCCAGTTATATGGTACTTAGAGTAGTCAAAAAGCCACAGGACAGAAAGTAGAAGGGAGGCTTCCAGGGGCTGAAGGGAGAGGAGACTGGAAGTTACTGTAAATAGGCTTCATTTCAATTTTCCAAGATGAAGAATAGTGTGGGGGATGACAGCAATAGCTGCACAAAAATGTGAATATATTTAAAACTTACTCTTACTGTACAATTAAAAATTGTTAAAAGGGTAAATTCTGTGTGCATTTTGTCATTTTTTAAAATTAAATAGGGGAAGATAAACTTTTTAAGAAATTAAGCACTCACTTTTTTTCCTAATTACAAATGAAGATCAATTTCCATTTTACCTTATTCTCAAATAGTACCGTAGGAAAAAACCTACCGTCTCTGCTCCAAGAGTCTGCAAGCCAGTGTAAGTTCTATCCAGCTATTGAAAAGACAAAAGAAGAGTGTAAAGTTTCACTGAGCTTACTTATAAATCTTAGGATATAATCTTATCTAAAACCCCTTTCATCACAAGTCTTCATAACATAGAATCTACTTTTCCATAATATAAATTATCATCAGTTCAATAAAAACCCTCTTAATTGGGGTAGAATGAGTAAAATTAATAAAAACAATTTCAAACATACAGGTATTGTACTTTTAATATAAACTATATACTTCTAAAAACATTCCAAGGACAATCTAAAAATGGAGGAAGTTTTACACAAAAAGATATTTACTACAGCATTATCTATAACCATAAACTGAAAATGTGACCCTCCAGTAATAGAGAAATGTTTAAGTAAATCATTTTTTTAAAAGATTTTATTTATTTATTCGAGAGAGAGATAGAGAGAAAGGGAGAGCAAAGAGGGTTCTGAGAGGCAGACTTCCCACTGAGCAGAGAGCCTGATGTGGGGCTTGATCTCAGGACCCTGAGATCATGACCTGCGTGATCTGTGCTGAAGGCAAGACACTTAACCAACTGGGCCACATAGGCACCCCTCAAGTAAATCTTGAACCATCATTTGTAAAGTATTACAAGCCACTTGGATGTTTACAAAGATGATGTAAAAAATATTTTTAAAAATAGGCTATGGGGGTGCCTGGCTGGCTCAGTCACTAGAACATGTGACTTTTGATCTTGGGTTTATAGGTGTGAGCCCCATGTTGGGTGGAGAAATTACTTAAAAAACAAAATCGTTTTTTTTAGGGGTACCTGAGTGGTTCAGTTGGTTAAACTCCTGACTCTGGATTTTGGCTCAGGTCATAATCTCAGCATTGTGAGATCAAGCCCCAAGTTGGGCTCTGAGCTGGGCATGTAGCCTGCTTAAGATTCTCTCTCTCCCTCATAAAACAAAATAACAAAACAAAAACCAGTAAGTAAAAAATGTTTAAAAATCATTTCTAAAAAAAGGGACAGTGGCTCAGTCAGTTGAGCCTCTGTCTTTGGCTCTAGTCATGATTTCAGGGTCTTGGAATTGAGTCCCACATTGGGCTCCCTGCCCAGTGGGGAGCCTGTTTCTCCCTCTCCCTGCTCTTGTTCGCTCTTTCTCAAATAAATAAAATCTTTTAAAAATAAATAAGTAAAGAGATTGGCTATAAAAATACACATATAGATGACAAAATTATATATTTAAAGTATATTAACTAAACTCTTTTGAAAAAAAATAAATGAAAACTTAAGCAATATAGGCAATGCTAATAATCACTTCCAATGTATTAGCATCATGAGTGATTTATTTTAGAGGAAAGAAAGGAATGTTAATAATATAAACAAAATTTACATTTACAAAGAGGCTAAGTTCTTATTGCAATATTTTATTTATATTCCAGCACTAAAAAAAAAGATCTATACACAAATATAGAATATTACTCAGCCAAAAAAAGAATGAAATCTTGCCATTTGCAAGAACATGGATGGACCTAGAGGCTATTGTGCTAAGTGAATTCAGTTAGAAAGAGACAAATTATCTTTTGTAGAATCTAAAAAAAAAAATGAATAAACAAACAACACCCAGAAACAGTTCTATAAACACATAGAACTGGTAGTTGCCAAAAACAACAGGGGTAGGGTGTTAGGCAAAATAAGTGAAGGGGATCAAGAGGTACAAACTTCCAGTTATATAATTAGTAAGTCACAGGGATGAAAAGTACAGCGTAGGGAATACAGTTGATAACAATGTAGTAACTTTGTATGGTGAGTACACTTATAGAGCTGAGCACTGAGTAATGTATAGAATTGTTAAATCACTATGTTGTATACCTGTAGCTAATAAAACACTATCCGTCAACTATATTTCAATAAAAATAAAATGAAAATCAGAAAAAGTTTTTGTCTAACATGAACAATTTGTTATTTGACAGCATTTTTGCTTTGCTTGAAGCAATAAAGCATTCTTAAAAAAAAAAAAAAAAGGATCTGTGGACCTTATCAGTATAAACGTTGCACAGGTGCACCTGGGTGGCTCAGCTGGTTAAGCAATGGTTTCAGCTCTTGGTTTCAGCTCAGGTCACCATCTCAGGGTCTTGAGATCAAGCCTGAGTCTGGCTCCCTGCTCAGTAGGACGTCTGTTGAGATTCTCTCTCCCTCTCCCCTTTCCCCACCAGCTCATACTCCCTCTCCCTCTCTCAAAAATAAATAAATCTTTTTAAAAAAAAATAAACATCACACAGTAAGATCAACGAGGAAAACTATTAAGTTGGATAAAAAGGAAAGATGACTTACTAATCAGCGAACAGAAAACTCTAAGACTCGCAAAAAGTAGATTTCAAGTCTGGCTGAGTTCTTTAGCAGCCTACACAGACATGACAACTCAGTTATGTGATCTAGTTTCAAAACAGAAAGACAATGCAGGGTGGATTCATCCTAGTTCCATGGAAGAGATCTAGTTTTAATACTTAAATCTTAGCCAACAGTATGCCTATTAATTTTAGGCTACATCCATTTTCATATTTTTCAGAGCATGGAAATAATAGTCTCTCCATAATGCGCACTGGCTTATGTTTCATTCTTGGGACCGCACTTTGAGACATTGATAAAATAGCACTGTTATCAAAATGGCAAGAGAAACTAGAAAGCACAATACACAAGGAATTTTACAAGAACAGGTCTGCCTGGAGATGATTTAAGGAGAGACATGAAGGCTGCCAAACATTCTTAGGGTTCTTATAAAACAAAACAAAGTCCTGTCCTGTGCTACTCCAGAAATCAATGAACACAAATAAGATCAAGGTTTAAAAAAAAAAAAAAAAAGCACAGTTTTAGTTAAATTTATGAAAGAACCTTCCAAAAGTTTATTTACCAAACAGATAAATGATTTGTTTGGGGAATTACTGTGCTCTGGGGTGACGGCTAATCAGGAATGCAGGATGTGGGAATTTCATATATTCTGGAAACTTTAAATAGTACATACTTCCAACACTTGAGTATTTAGTATTTAATGTCATTACAAAATATCAAATATAGAGTAAGTATTTCAGCATTTCAGTATACTGAGAGGTCACTATGGGCTTAGTCAGGGAAAGTACATAGGAACTTGAACTTGAAGAATGGAAAGAATTCAAACAGGCATTCTAGAGAGGGCAAGAGCATTTAAAAAAAAAAAAAAAAGACACAAGAGAAGAAGGCCCGAGGCACTTCTGGGGCATGAATAACTGACCTAGCTGGAGTAGTATATCCATGCAGGATATTAGTGTAAGATAACCTAGGGGAAGTATATTGAGTCAAAATGTGAAAAGCCCGGAACAGTAGGCAGGAAGTCTGAACTTGAGTAAAGGGAATTCAGTGAAGGTTTCTCAGAGAGGAAGAGCATAATGGTTCTCCTATTTCAGGAATACTAACTGGATGGTGGTATACAGAAAGCACTGAGGGTAAAGGAGACAGATTAGAATGAAAGAAGCTAATTAGGAGATAGTAGAAAAATGGCCTAGGCAAGAGAGGGAAGGGCAAAGAATAAGAAAGATGATGAAGAAAGAATAATAATCAGCAACTGAACAAATATTTAGAACAAAGAGGCAAGAATCCAAGATGGCTCTGAGAATTAACACAGAAATAACAGGCCAAAGAATATTCCAGTACAAACAAAAATCACGTAAGTATAACATAGGCATTTAAGGCCTCAAGGCCAATCAATATATAACAAACAGTAAAAGTTTTCCAGAAAAGCTGGTAAGAAAATTTAAATAATGTCATTTTTAAAACAGTATTTAACAGGGGCACCTGGAGGGCTCAGTTAGTAGAGCATGTGGTTCTTGATCTCAGGATCATGAGTTCAAGCCCCACATTGGGTGAAGAAATTGCTTAAATAAATAAAACTTTAAAAATGTTTAAAATGTTCAAAAATGTTTAAAAACATAAAAAAATTATGTCTCAATCTTCCACCAGCAACTCTAAGTGATACAGACAATATAATAGTATGAGAGCTATGTAAAAAATTCCTTTTATTTTAGAAATTAGGGCTGGGTGTAGTGTGATAGAAGATGGTATGTGCAGTGCTTAAAATAAGATAAAAGGAAAGCAAACTATTTTAGACCTTCCTCTAATTAAGTGCGACCATATCCTGCCCCTCTGAACAAAGTGGCTGCATATTCTTTATTTTGTTCCAGTTTTTTTCTGAGGTCATAAAGCAATCTAATCTTAGAGTAATCTCTAAAAAAATAACTTCAACACAAAGTTAAACGGTGCTATCTATCACCAATGGAGGGCAAATTTCAGCCTTAAGGTTGAAAAGGTTGTATTGGCACAACAAAGCGAACAAAATGGGAATTCTGCAGATGTACTGAGATTCATTTAGTTCAATTTTGTGAGCCACTAATGGGAACAATGTGGTAAACCACAAAATAAGGGTGTTTTGGGGATAAGTTTAATATTAGAAATATAGCTTATACAGAGAAAATCTACAAGAGGCTATATAGAAAGGGACTAGGAAAACATTTTAAAAATGGTCTTTCAATTATAAAAATTGAACATGTTTACTATACAAAATTAGAAGAAAAAAAAAAAAAAGCAACAGACAATAAGGGAAGGAGAAATTGCCCACAATGTCATTACTTCAATTACTCCAATAAATCACAGTTAACTTCATACTATATGAAGTTTGGTACTCTGTACTTTTCATTTACTATGATTGGTACTTTTTCCCTATGTATAGAAAACACTTCATAAAATATAAATTATAATGCCTGCATAATAAACCACGAGACTATGTCAATGAAAAATTTCTTAAAATACAAATCAAAAGAATGACAACTTTGTACAGTACTTTCAATTTCCTAAAACATGTTCACTTCTGTCTTTATCCTTACAAGATAAACATACCCATATCCTTATAAGATAAACAGATGAGGTGTATAATTTGCACCATTTTACAGAAAAGTAAACATATTTTGTTTTTAAGAGTTCAGTCACTTAGTCCCAGGTAACACAGTAACAGTGAGCTCTGATCAGAGATTCAAGTCTTCTGATAATCTGGCCAGTTCATCTTTTTAAAGAATATACATTCTGCTATAATACAACCCTTCCGCCAACCTTCAGAGAACAAAGGGGTGTTGCAGTAGCCTGTATAACACAATCAAAAACATTAATCCTGCTTCCACTGTCCTTGGCCACTTCTCTCAGGAGTCCTAACCAATGGCTTTAAGTAACCAGGTAAAAAGAGGTACTTCATTTCTGGGGAGCAACACGTTGTTACCTTCAGATTATGTATGATATCTATCCGCTTGTTCTGGCTGTCCTTAAAATGAACTTGAACTCTGACAGGAAACTCACCCCAGCCTCTTCTGGTCAGGTGAAAAGGAGGCTCTCTAGGGAAAAGCATACATTAACACATTAAGCTCTAGAGAGGAAATGTTTTCTCATACTGGGTAAGTTAGAGATTCACAGCCTCTGACAATAATTTACATTTTCTCATTTGAAGCTCAATCAATAAATGCTGAATTTTACTGAAATGCTGAAAAGAAAAATTCAACTCAAACCTACATTAAGCTTTCAGTTACTGAACACTTAGGGCTAAGAGACATGTAGTATATAATCCAATGTCCTCATTTTCACAGGCAGGGAACTAAGGTGATTTGATGGCTGTTACATATTAGAAGCCAGAATCCTTGACTACTTGATAGACACAGGCTGTGAGGTATATGTTCCCTACCCCAGACACCCATATTTATTCCCTCACTCTGGCAAAAACAGAATAAATCACAAATGCTCAATCTGAAAGTGACAATTTATTTGGAACTATCTGCTAACAGGACTTAAAAAAACATATGTTCACCATATGATCTTCCCCACACAGTGATGACGATTTTAGTGGATAGAGGAGGAATGTGTGTGAATGCTAACTGGACTGGAGAATTTTCAGTCAAAACATAATTTGTGAAGGGAAGAAAAAGGAAAGTTGATGGAAAAAAAGACAAGCAAATTGTTAATGATGTTTGATATAGGAGGGTTCAAGATACTCTACTTCGAAGTATGTTTGGAATTTTCCATAATAAAAACATTTTAAATTTAACTGAGAGAACGTCATGTACTCAAAAATAATATGGTTTAAGTTAAAGGGGAGAGAGAATGCTTTAAAATGAAAATGTTCATTATGAATCAGAGGCTTGGAATCACTAAAATGAGAGAAGATGCCAAGATGGCAGGGAGAAAGGAACATTCAGCGGGATGTGTTTTTGCAAAACTAAGAAGAGACATGAATTCAGTAAAGACAAAGTCCAAGAACACAACCTGAGAGAAACCTAACAGATCTGAATTACCAAGAACAGAGCAGGAAGCTACCAGAAGGGCTCAACACAGGAAAAATCTCTGAGTGTGAAAGTGGCCTGGAAGGAAGAAAAAGCAATAGCTATGTTATCAACCAGAGAGAAAACAAAGCAAAGCAAACCAGAGCACCCTGGACAGGAGAAACCAGCTCAACACTGGCTGAGTTAGTAAGAGAAGTAACCAAGATGCTGGGATAGTTTCAGACAGAGGCTTGGGGTCAAATGAGAAGGTCTACCTGAGACAGCAGTTTTAAATGGACACAGCGGAGCCTAGAGGCCTGTTGAACTTTAAAAGAAGAATTACAGCTCTACCGATGACATTTCTGGTCATTAAATTCCAGTGAAGTAGAGAGCCTAAATTCATTCTGCAATATGCATCAATTATACTATTTGTATGTTGGATTTCTCTTAAAATGGATATGGCAAATCAGCTGTGTTCCTCAGTTTCTGTACTTTGGTTAAACTCTAGTGAATGAACAGGAAAGACTGCTGCCAGAGAAGACAGACAAACAGCATAAAGGCCAGGAAAAAGGAACAATGCTTTTAACAGGAAATTTCCCCCTAACTCTATTTTTGGAAGCAAAAAAGGAATCTAAGACTTACCAACAGACATCACCTACGGAAATGTTAAACTTCAAAGAGATACACGTATTTCACACAGAAATAGGACTGCCAGCCCCAAAAAGACTTCTTTATTTCTGGATTCTTCACATCAGGTGAAATGTATCAATGACCAAGAACAAAAAACCACAGAATACTGGGCTAAAGACATGGTTTTTTCAACACTCATGTTTGAGAGCCTAAAAATGAAATTGCCCTTTTATCAATTAAACTTTACTATTAGAATAAAACAATGTGTCAAACAATTTTCTGAGGTTCTACCCAGTGAAAACTGTCAAGACAATGAAGTAAGTTTTATGAACACTGAAAGGAAAAAAAATCTGATTTGCATTGAAAACCACTATACTGATTCATTCCCTAGGGTAGGCAGGAGATAGAAAGATTCAATTTCATAAAATATGTGAAAATCATTAATTCAATGTAATTTTAATCCATAACTTGACACTTGGATTCTAAAGTAATCTGGAACAACATGTATGGTCAGGAATGGCCAAGAAAAGATTCTTAAAATAATAGTAATAATCATCAAGGGAATAACCCTACCAAAGAGAAAATGCTATAAAGCAAACAATTTAAATAGTATAATACTGGTACATAAACAAATATTAAGAGAGCCTAGCATTTGATCCATACTTATATGGAACTTTAGTGTACATTGAATACAAGAAAAAGATGGATCAACAGATAAATTGATATTGGGACAACTGTCATCCACAATAAGATAAAAAAATCCTATTTCCTAGTATGTCACTTTCTGACCACCTATCAATTCCCATCTTTCCAGCTCCATCCCTAATCCAACTATCCTCTGACCCACTGGGAATTCCACTTATTACCCACACCAATTTTCATTACCTCTCTCTTCTCTTTATATAATTTCCTTCTCTCCTTAGCTTAGATTTCACGGTGTATCATTACCATAATAACCTCATAATAAAAGTGAGGAAATCAGTGAACTGAGAAATTAGAGTTCTCGGTGAGTTGTCTACATCCATGTCAAAGTCCTTAAGAATGACATCAAGAGGAAACATTAGGACAACAGATGCTAAAACTGTTTTGGAAAGAGGGAAGTAACTGGGAAATTAGTAGATGTCTGCAACAAGAAGGATCATACAATGCTCCAAAAGAGCTGAAGGTTTTTAGACAGAAAAAGGAAAAAGAAGGTCTAGAAGCCACAAATATGTGCAAGGAAGACACACCCACCCACCACCCTCCACCCCCAACCCAATGGCACATGGTATGAGAGGGAAAAAAACTGCCCTTCAGAAGCAGTGTTCTCAGAAGATAGCCATGTTTTATTTGAGTCAGGAGTAGAGGGAACATTCTGAAGAGAGCTGAGGATATAGGAAATTTCACTGATAATAAACCAAAACCACTTCTACAATACAATCACACAATGAATGTGTATGTGATATGTAACCTCATATAAAGATATAAAGAATACACATAAGGGGCGCCTGGATGGCAAAGGTCATGACCTCATTCGTCATGAGACAGAGTCCTGCATTGAGCTCCAAGTTCGGTGTGGGGTCTGCTTGAGATGCTCTCCTTCTGCCCCTTCCCCCACTATCATGCACACATGATCTTTCTTTCTCTCAAATAAATAAATAAAATAGGGGTCCCTGAGTGGCTCAGTTGGTTAAGCATCTGACTCTTGATTTTGGCTCAGGTTATGGTCTCAGGGTCTTGGAGTTAAACTCTGCTTTGAGTTCCATGCTCAGTGGGGAGTCTGCTTAGGGATTCTCTCTCTCCCTCTCCCTTTGCCCCCCACCCCAGTCACACACGCTCCCACTCTCTCTTTAAAATAAATAATTAAAAAAAAGAATACACCTAAATGAAACAAATTTCGGAATAGCATATATATATAATAATTCCATCTTTGTGAAATAATAATACCAACAACAACAAACAGCAACTATACTAGGTAAATATATGTAGGAAAAATATCACTGGGGTTACTTCTGAGAGGATGAGATCATGGGGAACTTCCAAAATTGAATATTTCTGTAATGTTAGAATCCTATGTTTAATTCTACTATATTCTGATATTTATAAAAAATAGGAACACTTTTATATTTATCTGTATCTATAAAAATTCAGTTCTTTCCAGGGGGAGAAAACTCCATTAATATAATTCTGACAGGAGATACTGCCTTTTCAGGGAGACAATAATCTGCAAGAGGGAACCACAGTTAAAACTCTATTGTGATGCGGGGGGGAGGGGGGTAGGAAGAGGGTGGTGGGGTTATGGACATTGGGGAGGGTATGTGCTATGGTGAGTACTGTGAAATGTGTAAACCTGGCAATTCACAGACCTGTACCCCTGGGGATAAAAATACATTATATGTTTATAAAAAGATTAAAAAATTATTTTAAAAAAACTCTATTGTGACTAAAAGCCAAAGCTAAGTAAATTATTAATAATATAATAATTAAAGGGAATGTTCTCAAGTTAAATCACTCTTCTTCCATTTCAGTAAAGCTGTACTTTTTAAATTAAATAACTCAACTGTGCTTACCTAACCTCCACAAGGTCATTTGGCTTATAGCTGGGATGAAGAAAGAACCAAACTTTCTTGACGAAATGATTAATGCTGGGTTCTCTACGAGACCCTCGGACATATACCATCCACTTGTGGGTTGACTGGTCATTTTCTTCTCTCTTATCAGGAGGTATGTACCTAAAGGAGAAAAAAGAAAGTAACTTTAATTCTTTTTTCCTTCAAACCCTAACAAAACAATTAACTCCTACTTAAAACAAAATTAAAAATCAGTTACAAGAAAACAACTGGGAATTCACAAATATGTGAAGATCAAGCAACACACTACTAAACAACCAATGAGTCAAAGATGAAATCAAAGAGAAATTAAAAAAATCTTATGACAAGTGAAAATGAAAAAAAGATACGTGAAAATGGAAATACAACATACCAAAACTTAAGGGATGAAGCAAAAGGTTTTATGGAGGAAATTCAGAGCAATAAATGCCTATATTAAGAAAAATTTCAATCTAACTTTACACCACAAGGGACTAGAAAAAGAACTAAGCCCAAAATTGGTAGAGAAAAGGAAATAACAAAGATGAAAGTGAAAGTAGAGACAAAAAGACAAGAGAAAAGATTAAAGACTAAAGAGCTGTTTTGTTAAAAAGATAAAACAGACAAACCTCTGCCTTGACTTAACAAGGAAAAAAAGAGAAGGACCCAAATAATAAAATTATTTTAAAAAGAGGACACATTACAACTAACATCACACAAATACAAAGGATCATAAAACTATGAACAATTATAGGGGCACGCGGCTGACTCAGTAGAGCATGTGATTCTTTATCTCAGGGTTGTGAGTTTGAGTACCATGCTGGGTGCAGAGATTACTTAAAAATAAAATCTTAGGGGTGCCTGGGTGGCTCAGTGGGTTAAAGCCTCTGCCTTTGGCGCGGGTCATGATCCCAGGGTCCTGGGATCGAGCCCCGCTTCGGGCTCTCTGCTCAGCAGGGAGCCTGCTTCTTCCTCTCTCTCTCTGCCTGCTTGTGATCTCTATCTGTCAAATAAATAAATAAAATCTTTTTAAAAAATTAAAATAAAATAAAATCTTAAAAATAGATAAGTAAAATGTTTAAGAAAAAAACTATGAAAAATTATATGCCAACAAAGTGAACAACCTAGAAGAAATGGTTAAGTTCCTAGAAACATACTATCATGACTGACTCATGAAGACAGAAAATGTGAACAGAACAACTACTAGTAAGGAGACTGAATTAGTAATCAAAGACCTCCCAACTAAGGAAATTCCAGGATCAGATGGCGTAAAGGATGGTTTCTACTAAATATGTGAAGAATTGATACAAATCTTCCTCAAACTTTTCCAAAAAATACGAGGGAACACTTAAAAGCTCATTTTACAAAGCTAGCATTACCCTGACCCCAAAGCCAGACAATAACACTATAAGAAAATTACAAGCCAATATCCCTGAAAAATATACATGTAAAAATCCCCAACAAAATATTAGCGAATAGAATTCAACAGTACATTAAAAAAGGATCACACATGATGACCAAGTGGTAGTTACCAGGGATGCAAGGATGGTTCAATATCTGCAAATTAATCAGTATGATATACACTAATAAAGTGAAAGATAAAAATCGTATGATCATTTCAACAGATGCAGAAAAAATACTTGACGCAATTTAACATCTATTCTTGATAACAACTCTCAACAAACTGGGTATAGAGGTGGTACACTTCAAAATAATAAAGGCCATATATGACAAGCCTACAGCTAACATAATGGTGAAAAACTAAAAGCTTTTCCTCTAAGATCAAGAACAAGACAAGGATACTCACTGTCTCCACTTTTATTCAACATAGTACTGGAAATTCTAGCCAAATTGCAAAGGAAGAAGAACACTGTCTCTATTTGAACATAATGTGATATTATATACAGAAAATCCTAAAGACTCCACCCCAAAACAGTTAAAACTAATAAACAGGAGTGTTTGGGTGGCTCAATTGGTTAAGTGTCTGACTCTCGATTTCGGCTCAGGTCATGATCTCATGGTCCTGAAATCAAGCTCTGCATCGGGCTCTGCTCTCAGCAGGGGGTCTGCTTGTCCCTTGCCTCCCCCTTCGCCCCCCTCCCCCCACTTTCTCTCAAACAAATAAAATCTTTAAAAAATAAATAAATGAAAATAAGATAAAACTAATAAACAAATTCAGTAAAGGTGCATGATATAAAGTCGACATAAAAAATCAATTGTGTTTCTAACACTAACAACTATCAGAAAGAAAATCAAGAAAATAATCCCATTTATAACTGCACCAAAAATAGTAACATATTTAGGAATAAATTTAACTAAGGAAGTGGAAGACTGGCACACTGAAAACTCTAAGGTACTGATGAAAGAAACTGCAGAAGACACAAATAAATAAAAAGATATTCCAAGCTCATGGACTAGAAGAATTATTATTATTAAAATGGCCATACTACCCAAATCAATTTATAGATTTAGTTTAATCCTTATCAAAATCCTAATAGCATTTTTCATAGAAGAAAAAACAATCATAAAATCTGTGTGGAGGGGCGCCTGGGTGGCTCAGAGGGTTAAGCCTCTGCCTTCGGCTCAGGTCATGGTCCCAGGGTCCTGGGATCGAGCCCTGCATTGGGCTCTCTGCTCAGTGGGGAGCCTGCTTCTCCCTCTCTCTATGCCTGCTGCTCTGCCTACTTGTGATCTCTCTCTCTGTCAAATAAATAAGTAATCTTTAAAAAAAAAAAATCTGTGTGGAATCATAAAAGTCTTCCAAAGAACCTCTTTTTTTAGGGAAAACAAAACAAAACAAAACAGGAGGCATCATACTTCCTGATTCCAAACTATATTACAAAGCTACGGTAATAAAACAGTATGGTATTGCCATAAAAACAGACGCACAGATCAACAGAACAGAAGACAGCACAGAAATAAACCCACGCATATATGATCAATTAATTTATGACAAAGGAGCTAAGATATACAATAGGAAAAGGATGGTCTCCTAAATGGTGTTGGGAAAACTGGAGAGCTATGTGCAAAAGAATGAAAATAGACACTTATCCTACACCACACACAAAAATCAACTCAAAACACATGAATGACTTGAAACCAGAAAACTCCTAGAAGAAAACATAAGTAAGCTCCATGACATCGGTCTGGGAAATGATTTTTTGGATTTGACACCAAATGCAAAGGCAATGAGAACATAATGAGGACATAAATTGGTGCAACTACTATGGAAAACAAGATGTTCCTAAAAAATTAAAAACAGAACTAGCCCACTGCTGTGTACATATGCAAAGGAAACAAAAATGGGTTGTCAAAGTGCTATCTGCACTCCCATGCTCACAGCAGCATTATTTATAATAGCCAAAATATGGAAACCTATACGTCCATAACAGATAAATGAATAAAGGCATGAATGGATCAAGATATATATACATACATATACAGCTGACCCTTGCACATCATGGGATTGAACTGTGCAGATCCACTTATGTGTAATTATTTTATAATACCGTAAATGTATTTTCTTTTCCTTAGGATTTTTTCTTTTTTCTGGTTTTTTGTTTGTTTGTTGTTGTTGTTGTTTTTTAAGTAAGCTCTACACCCAGTGTGGGGCTTGACCTCACAATCCTGAGATCAAATGTAGCATGTTCTACAGACTAAGCCAGCAGGAGCCCCCATTATGATTTTCTTAGTAATATTTTCTTTTCTCTAGCTTACTTTATTTTAAGAATACGTTATATAATACATGTGACATAAAAAGTATGTATTAATCAACTGTTAATGTTATTGGTAAGGCTTTCAGTCAATACTAGGCTATTAGTAGTTAAGGTTCTAGGGAGTCAAAAGTTACACATGGATTTTTTTTTTTTTTAATTTAAGAAAGAGAATGAGTGCACAAGTGAATGGGGGATGAGGGGAGCCACAAAGGGAGAAAATCTTAAGCAGGCTCCATGCTCAATGCTCAGGGGCTCAAACTAGCATCTTTGAGATCATGACCTGAGCCAAAATCACGAGTTGGATGCTGGGGTGCCTGGGTGGCTCAGGCGGTTAAGTGTTTTTTTTTTTTCTTGTTTTTTTTTTTAAGATTTTATTTATTTGATAAACAGGGATCACAAGTAGGCAGAGAGGCAAGGGTGGGGGGAAGCAGGCTCCCTGCTGAGCAGAGAGCCCAATGTGGGGATTGATCCCAGGACCCCAAGATCATGACCTGAAATGAAAGCAGAGGCTTTGACCCACTGAGCCACCCAGGCACCCCAAGTGTCTGTCTTTTGATCTCAGCTCAGGTCATGATCTTGGGGTCCTGGGATTGAGCCCTGCATCGGGCTCCATGCTCAGTGGGGAGTCTGCTTGAGTATTCTCTCTCTCCCTCTCTCTCTGCCCTTCCCCCTCCCCTATCTCTTAAATAAATAAATCTAAAAAAAAGAGTTGGATGCTTAACCAACTGAGCCACCCACATGCCCTTATACATGGATTTTTAACTGTGCAGGAGGTTGGTGCCCCTACCCTCGAATTGCTCAAGATTCCTCAAAGGTCAAATGAGTGTGTGTGTGTGTGTGTGTGTGTGTGTCTGTGTGTGTGGATAATGGACCATTCTTCAGCTATAAGAAGGCAATTCTGGCTTTGGTGAGAACATGGATGATCACAGAGGGCATTATGCTAAGTGGAATAGGCCAGACAGAGAAAGACAAATACTACATGGTATCACTTATATACGAAATGTTAAAAAAAAAATCAAACTCATAGAAACACAGCAGAAAAAGTTACCAGAGGCTGGAGGTAGGGGAAACAGAGAGAAGTTGGTAAAAGGGTATAAACTTTCAGCTTTGAGATGATAAGGTCTAAGGATCTAATGTATAATTGGTGACTAATATAGGGAATAAAATTCGCTGAGAAAATAGAACTTAAATGTTCACACACACACACACACACACGAGAGGGTGCCTGGCTGGCTCAATAGATGGAGCTTAAGACTCTTGATCTCAGGGTTGTGAGTTCAAGGCCCACACTTGGTGTAGAGATTATTTAAAAATAAAATCTGAGGGGCCCCTGGGTGGCTCAGTGGGTTGAAGCCTCTGCCTTCGGCTCAGGTCATGATCCCACGGTCCTGGGACTGAGCCCCACACTGGGCTCTCTGCTCAGCAGGG